AGGATTTCCATTATAATTTGCAAAACATTTCTAAACAACAACTACATACTACTTTATATATATATATATTATATTCTGAAACCTAATGTGTTAATTGACATCTCATTTTTTCTTACTTATTGATTGCAGTGAGAGAGAGAGAAAGCTTTCAAGTAGATTCGATCCGCGATCATGTGAATATATCCAATAGGAGTCATTTTAAAAAGCTTCGGAAGCCAACCTGTTAGTAGCAACCCAAAAATTCCTACAATTGTCGTTTCGAAATTTACAAATTAACAAAATACCTTTACCAAAATTTATAATTAATATTAAAAAATGAAAAATGAATTTTCACATTAATATTTCATATTAACCACTATTAATAATTTAAAATGTCGTAGTTCAACATAATATTTACAAAACTGGAAAGAACTGTTTATCGTTGTATATTTTCGCTTTCGTTTTCAAACAGTAGCATACAGTGCAGGAATATAACAATATTTCAAAACAATAACAATGTTCACTGTAAATCAAATTACTCAAACAATTTCAAATAGATATAATCTTCGCATAATTTATTCGATTATTTTGAATAATAATTCATTCCAAGTTGTGTTGGCAAAAAGTCAAAAATTAATGGTTCAATTACAACATTACAGCTGCTATCGGCAGTTTGACAGTAAATGAATTATTCATATTTAGAACTTTATTTAAAAGTCATTTTTGAGATATTTCTGTTATCTACATTTGCATTTAATTAAAACAACTCTGGATAGTTTATTTTAATTAAATAATTATATGACATTTCACTTTATTACGTAATCATCACTATAGTTTATTCCTGAAAATGACAAATGATTACCCCGATATACTTATGTATAATCCGCGCTATTTAATTTTTTCAAAATTAATATTTAATCTATTTAATCTTTTTCCTCTATCTTGTATTCAATTATTTTTGATCAAAGCAATACTGGAGTTTAAATTTATTTTATTTAAAAAACCACAGCCAACGTTTCGCCCAGGTTGTTGGGTTTTTTTAAGGCTTCAGTACACTGTAATTAATATTTTAATACAAACTGAGTCACAATTGATCCTTTTGTTCTTTAAAGTTTACCTAGTTATATTTAGTCAAAACTGTAATAGGCTGATTGAATTTGGTTAAAGGGCATACTCAGAGATCATCAACCATTAACAAACATTAATAAAGATTTTTTGTATAGATAAAACTCTAAAAACCAACTAACAGAACAATTGTTTTAAAAACGTTGTACGATTAGAATAACAAATAAATAAATAATTGAAAACCACGTGGTAACAGTTATACACAAACACTTTAAAAAACAACAGTTGTATAGTCTTTAAAAAAAAAGAAAACTTCACTGCGATTGAACGATAGAACATATAGAAATTGTAGTTTAGTCAATAGTCGATAGTTTACATTTAGTTGGTTTTAGGTAGGAAGGTTTAGGTTTTTATTTGAATTTTTTATTTTTTTATTTGTATTTGTATTATAATATATTTTTTTAATTTGTTGAATATTTTGAAGAAATTATCAACTATAAAATTATTTTCTAAATCTGATTTAGACTTCATCGCCTTGTTACCATAGATTAGGATTAATAATGCCTCCATGAATAAACGTTTAAACTACATAGTATAAAACAAAGTAGTTTCCCGCTGTCTGTCCCTATGTATGCTTAGATCTTTAAAAGTAGGCAACGGATTTTGATGCGGTTTTTTTAAAGATAGAATGATTCAAGGGGAATGTTTATATGTAAAATACATGCATAATATAGTCGAGAAACACTGATAATTTTAGAGGTTTCTACAAAGAAGTCCGGAACGGTATGTCTATCTCTTAGGGATAAGCCACAATAACAATTTTTTATCCTTTACTTTTTATGAGAACTAATGCCTTTGTGCATTTAATATAGATCAATATGGTCCTTTACAGCATCTAATTTATATGAATATTACAGACTTAAAATGCAGGGACATAGCGGTTGCGGCGGTACCGGCTGGGAGGCCGGTTTGTATTGTCTAATGACAAAAAAGCTGTGAATGTTGTATATAAAGACATTCGTTAGTAGAAGATTTTCCCTCCTCGAGAATAATCTAAACAAAAATAAAATATATTTAGTATCAGCATTGTTCCCGTGCGGTTCGCTAGTTATGTAATATTTTAATGTCATCAAATTTGGATTTGTCCCATATATGTTTTAAAATTGCTATCTTATAAGATGTAGTCATGGTATTTTGTCTGTTATGGTCGTATTTGTGTTTTTTTAGACTATTGTGCAGAGGTATTTTTGAGCACAAAATGATTGAAAAAATCAGCAACTTCGGCGAAACGTTGATTGTGGTTTTTTAAATAAATTAACATGCGAAACAAAAAAATCAAAAAACCGAATTAAAGGTAATGCAATTTTTCATTTTATATACAGAATAACTAAGTAAACACAAAAATGTCTTTATTTATAACGAATCCTGACAAACATGAACGTTAACGTACATTCATTAACAACCGCGATAAAAATAAAACTTCATGTTGATATATGGATTTTTCACCTGTGTTAAAATCGCTAAATTTTGTTGACGGGAAGGAATTTCTTGGCAGTTATAAGGCAACGAACAAAGTATTCAACACACGTTCAATAAAAAAGATTGATTTTATTTAGAAAATAAATAGGTATACGAAAGTCGTAATAATATTACTGTTATTTTTTGTTAATCGTAATTAATTATTCTATAGTTAATTATTATTAATATTAGTGCATAACAAATCTTTTCAACAATTTTTGAAAAATAAGTTCGAATACAGGCCCGTTTACCACAATTACATGAAACAATATTTTTGACTGATTGCTTTGACTCATATCTGTCGTATTTTTACAAAAGCATTTTAAAAATCAAGTATGTGGGTAGAAGTGCCCGCTGCGGTGTGCCAAATTGTAATAATCTAATAACACTTCGTCCGGACGTCACTACGACACCTTTTAAACTGACGATGAAAAGAACACCTGTTGGCAAGGATTTTAAATTTTTTATAAGATGAAAACTGCAGTGGCTTTAGTTATTAATAACGATTTAACTATACAACAAAAAAGGCAGACGATTTTATAAAAATAGTACGTACCTTTCACTTTTTCTTTATATTTTCCATTTGTTACTTTTTTATAGCTTCTAGTATTGATACTATCAGTAATACTAATATAATGCAATATACCTAAACCTAACTATCATAATGGATATTTTTTGAATAACTATAGTGGTTCAAAACTTTTCCAATTTAATAACCACTAATTCGAAGTGGTCTGTATTCTGTCGGAACTGCCAGACGCTGGATCGCGATTTCAATCTTTTTGGAACTCATCAGCGCGTCGCAGACAGCTCCGACAGAACACAGACCAACTTTTACCTGCTGTCTTAACAGCGCGTTTTAGAAAATACCACAAATGGCGCGGTAAACGCCATCTGTAGTACGATGCTGCATTTTAGAATTACGTATGCTACAACAAGGTCCATTTAAATATATGGATATCTACTTGCTGATAGGCACGTTACCATAATCGAATAAAACAATGCGCTACAGTGTATATATAGTGCCTAATGCTCTACGTATATATGATTCTAACATAATAGGCTTTGTAGTGGCCAGATTATGGAAAATTGCCTAACTATTAAGTCTAAGAGACGAAACTGTGCCTTAGGCTTGCATTCGATATCCATGTTGTCGTTTATTCGGAATTTATAATTGAAAATCACCAATTTTTTGTCATGTTCAGCGTATTTACGTGTTTATACCAATATTAGGTTGTATGCTCAAAACTAGGGTGTGATAGTGACTGGGGCTAAACGCCCGATGACGGAATAAGCTTAAATTAATTTACGGTACATGACGTGTTATGCACTTTGGACTTATGTTAGGTGAGAATAGATTCCCCATATATGTAATACTTTTATATTGCTAGTTGGGGTCTAGAAAAAGATGGCGACCCAACGATGCAGACATATATGCGTCTGTCTCTCTCGTGACTACTTCGAGTAGCGCGCATCATTTACCCCCACCAGACTCGTGACGATTGCGCACAACGGGTCGAGTAATCTAAAAAGAGACAGAAGTAGTCGTTTGTTGTCTCATTTACTTCGTGACACTTCCACTTACGGGCACTGCCAATATAGGAGTATTACATATATGGGATTCCCTTATTAGTTTGTGTGAAGTGCTGCATGAGGCTCTTTCAAAAGACGATTGCGGCTCTTGAAGTTCCCTTAAAGAAATTATAAACTAAGACGGAACGGAGAGACACGAAGTGCACGCATATATCTAAAACAAGAGATTGCACTTTATGACTAACATTACAATGCATTTCAACGAATAAAAAATTCGATATAATACCTAAGTAATTTTCATTGACCTTCTATAAAAGCCAATGTTAAAAAAACAAATTTTGAACTTCGATTTCTCGAAAACTACACAGAAAAAAATCAATTTTCTGGTAAATACAGGTGTATAATTAACTTACTGAAATTTTATAATTATAGGACTTTTTTTTACGTAAACAACCTCCTTAAGAGTTTGCCGACCCCTGGCAGCTAATTTTGCGCTGAGTGCACCAATGGTTTAGGTTAGGTATTGGTCGAAAAGGATTCCCTGATTGACATGTACAAAGATGCGATATGCACTATAGCCTTAAATTAGGCCGTGGTGAGAGACGATTCCGTGATAAGCTTGTAAGAAGTGATATGAACTGTCGATTAAGTGCTGAACGGTATAATTAAAATTAAGTACAGTAAAAGCTCTTTATTCGCGGGGTATACGTTTCATAAATATGCCGCGAATACAGAAACCGCGGATATGGAATGGTAACCAATATGTATTAAAATAAAATAAAATCCATGTATTGATAAATTCGCAATTAAAATTAATCGTTATAATCAGCTTTAGGCAAGAGTTTAAAAAATTTGGGCGGGAACAGCTAGCAATTAACTGAATGCATTTTTTCTTTATTTTTCAGTATTACGAACAACGACGATAGCTTAAAACAAAACGGCGTATCATTCAAGAATGCAAGTGAAACCCCTATCAATGAACATAGGGTAAGTGATTTAATTAATATATACATACTTACCTAATCTACATGCATATGTTTTTGTATGTGCCGGAGTAAGTAAGTAAGAAGTGTAATTACCCATTTTTAATTTTATGGAAAACTGTGAATTTAGTAAATTTAATTGCAAGTCAGATACATCATTATAAAGTCGTAAGTCCTAAGACTGGTTGGACACACACGCACCTCCATCTCTTTCCTATCCTACTAATCTTCGCATATCCCTAAAACTAGAATAACTCACATCTTTAACTGTTTGCGAACAGTAATCTAATCTAGGTCTACCTCTACCTCTCCTAACTCCCGTTTCTGCATCTAATATGTCTCTAACTAGACCTTCTTGCCTGAGAAGGTGTCCTATCTCACCTATTTCTTATTGACTTCCATAGAGTCCTCTGTTCTCCTATTCTTTCTAATACCTCTCCATTTCTAACCTTCTCTATCCACGGTATCCTCATCATTCGCCTGTAACACCACATTTCGAACGCAGATACAAATCCAAATAAAATAATTTTATAAGTATTCGTACATATACTTAAATTAGAGCATTTTTTTTAATTTTCGCATTTAAAATCATTAAATTTAGTGTGTCTGTATAATAAATTGTGAATAGTACGTCCCATAAGAAATACTTCACTGCTTAACTAAAATAGCACGTTATAATATATAAACTGAATATTAATTCTCATTATAACGAAAACATGGCGTACCTATTTACCCTCTTCATTTGTCTACATGAAACTAATTTTAACCGAAATTCTGAATTTTGAAAAAGCGGATTCTTGTTTAAAAGACAAATGTAACATTCATCGTGTATACATGTGGTTTTAAGATCTGCGTGATTTACACTGGCAACTGTTAAATTTAAAAACATGTTTAAAATTTCCGTATAGTGGAGTTATTTTTGCTGACTCATTGATCTCTATAGCGCTCATTCATTTTATATTTAAGTGTGTTATTTTATACATTAACAGTTTTATTACACTAAAAGTAAATGTTACTGTAAAAACCTGAGTAATAAATTCTATTGTGTACTCCAAAAAAACAGAATTTTTACCAACACAAAATGATAAACATTTTAAAAAAAGATCGTAGTAGGTACACAGTATAATTAAAGAATACAGGATTAGAAAAAATTGTAATTGAAGAAATAACAATACCTTAAAATTTTTGAAGATACAGTAAGCACTTGTTGCAACATGAGTTGGATTCATCATCATCATAAGGTCGTCAATCTGAAGAGTGGTTGGAAGCTCACCTCCACTTTTTCCTATCCTGAGCTAATCTTCGCATTTCCCTAAAACTAGAACATCCTTAACTATTTGCGAACGGTAATCTAATCTAGGTTTACCTCTATTACTCTTAACTCCTTTTTTTGCCTCTAATATTAACATTTTTTGTCTGTTTTTTTTTTTTTTTNTTTTTTTTTGAAATAGAGTCTCTGTTCACCTATTCTTTCTAAAACCTCTTGATTTCTAACCTCTATCCACGTTATCCTCGCCTGTAACACCTATATACCTAATACTCCTATATTGCTAATCCCCGTAAGTGGCGAGCAAGAGAGACAGCAACTTCATACTTCTTCTCACTCGTTTATACTTGATGAGTTATGCGCAAGCGTTGCGACTGTAGTGGGAGAAGCCCTCATCTCTCAAAGCTTAGAATGTAGTTAAAGTAGACAAGTTTTCGTATGCGTGGTAGCTTCTCGGACATACGCACAACGTTCAAAGTCTAAATGAGGGAGACAGACATATATATGTCTGCACCTTTGGGTCGGCATCTTTTTCTAGACCCCTACTAGCAATATAGGAGTACTAAGTATATATATGGTAACAGCACATTTCGAACGCTTAACCTAACCTAACCTCCAAACATACACCTTTAATAATCTTTTTCTAATTTTTAAATTAATCGTTCACGAGCATAGAAGTGACTTCTTTTTATTGAAGGCGACTCGAACCTGCACTATCCTCTGCTTTATATCCCTACTACTCCTTCCGTCCTGACTTATCTGACTTAACGTCCGGCATTTGACGTATTTCATTAGCAGCAGTCATCACGCGTCCGTGCAAATCATTAGGGTTGTGCACCAGGATTTCGTACACGTGCTATTTGATAATACTCCATACAAATAATTTAATCCACCGTCTAGAATACTAAAAGAAACTAATGCACTGTTCCTACAATGTCAGGAGGTGAGCCATTATGTGAAATAACATAACGTTCACATAGTTGCAATGGTACATCCTGTGGTCTCTTGTAACTCTTCTAAAAAATCTGCAACCGTTGTTGAAATGGCAAACGATATACTACATGAGGATTTGCGTCGCACCAATAGTCGCTATTGTGAAAATACAAGATTCTGTCCCGTGTGAAATTGCACTTGCCTGTAAACAACACCCTATTGAAAAAATTGCTCTCTGCAGCAATTTTTCTTCGAAACCGATGATAGAAATCCACTCGCAGCTAAAAATCACTTTTAAGCAAGGCTTGCACTCGCTGAAAATGAAATGGATGCAACTACTGCTCCTTTACAATTTGCCACAATGTCACATGGAAGGAGCCAACGTTCCTTCTATCTCGCGTATACTACTTTAGAGGTTATCTTCTATGAAATCACGGATTTCGTCCTCTACAGCGGCAATATAATTCAAACGTGTATATAAGTATCATGTCACATCATCGTTACAACAACTGTTCTACAGAGACATACTAACCTACTCTAATAATTAATGTATTGCTGAATTAGTTTATTAAACAATTAAACTACACATCGATTGATTAAATACAAGGCTTATAAATTAGAAAACGAACAACTACTACAAGTCAAATCACTTAATCTAACAAATATCAAACGATACATAGACGAAATAATACCAAAAAAATCCAACGCTGTTGCTGCTAATTGCCAGGTTATTGGATATAGAGTTAAATTATTGCATTTCTATTCAGGATCTGAATTACGTTTACCTGTACTTTGAACTACGTTTTTCTTGGAAACTGAAATTTTGGACATACAAACATATTCTTAAATTTCTTATTTTATAGTACCCTATTAGCTTCAGCGAGCTTGCTCCATTTGCTACTTATTTGAGAAACATACTGTGTATAAGCTCCGTCGTAAAATCTTCATAAGCAGCTACTACAAAAACAAAGTAAAAATTAAACTGCTAATTAGGTATATATATATATATATCTTTTTTTTACTTTAATAGTTCGCTTTTAATATTTTCGGTTCTTCTTTCGCTCGTCAATGATGTCCTCCAAAATTCATTCCCAACTTTTTTACAATGTATGTTTATAAATTTGATGGAAATTGTTGTCTGTTTGTACATGCTATTCATTGAAACGTTTGAAGTGAGTTCGATGGCGCTTGATAGAGCGGACCTACGACTTTCAAATTCTTTGAAAGGAATGACTGTTATTCTGTGCTGTAAGGAGTGAAAACATGGGGAAAATGTTCAAGAGTTATATAAAAAAACAACTTTTGGGTGTTTAATTCCCACCAGCCAGTAATGCTGGTGGGCGGGCAGTCCCTCCGGACTACGCCGGAAAGTAGAGCGGAAGGCCCTCTTCAGCGTGCTTTCAGGAATCGTGGGAATGGGTGGATGGTGGTTCAGGTGAGAAAGATGAGACGGGCGAAATGAAGGCAGAAGAGAATAAAAGATTTTCTGTGTAATATTACTGCCTCAGCATTTGCCTAAGCGATCTAAGGAAACCACAGAAAAACTTGGACCAAGTCAGACGGACCCGGAATCGAACCGGCGTTCTCTCGAATGCTAAACATTGGTCTAAACCTCTAGGTCATGCCGCTCGGTAAAGGTTATATAAATGCAAGCCGTTTATATAGGTACTATCCATCAAATGTAAAATAATATTCCTAATGTTTTGAAAGCGTTGTAATACTTGATTCTTTGAGAAAATCCTAACTAAGCGGGGGAAGACAGCTTGTGTTTCAGTTGTTATTTCTAAAATTACTGTAATGTTACTCGTCTGTATTTATAGGTATGAGTTGACACAAAAAAATGATAATGTTTATAAAAAAATGTTACTATAAGACATAATTGAGGTCGATTCCTTTATACATGTATTAATTCTTCTGTGCAATGTTTAGTTCACTTCTATTGTGACCAACATAAATCAACGCCAAATGTTTTCTTAAAATTCGATTCGGGTTTATGTATGCGTGTCGGTTTCAGTGATGTCGTTGTCCTGTCGTTTGTAGGTTGCTACTTAATTTAATATTAGAATTTCAGGAACACATATTACAAGTTTCTAAAATATTTTCAAGGGTCGAAAATAGGCACGGTACGTATTAATATGCACCGTATGCAAAGATACATATGTACTTCTTTGAAAAATTTATAATTTATAATAAATATGTACTGACTATTTCATAAAAGTTGCTCATTATCCAACTTTCTTTGACGTAATAGTACCAAATCTATCCTAATGGTATACCGATGTAGGTATTCGCAAACTTATTGTATTTTCTGTAAAATTGTTCCCCGACATTTGAAAAAGTGTGAGTAATTTTTCACGCCTACTTAGATTTGTTAACTGCCATCCAAGATGTTTGTTTTTTATATACAAGGGTTATTTAAGACTGTACTGAAAATTATGTATTATGAAAAATTTTGTAGAAACTATTCAGTTGGGTTAAAATGCTTATATGAAAAGAATAACCATTTACAAAAACTTTCTTGAATTAAATAAAAACTGTTTAATAAAAAAATCAAACCGCCGAAAAAACTGAAAAGCAAAAAATAATAAACCTTTATTTTATTAACCTTAATAACTAAGTTCTTCAACTAATGTAAGTATACCTAAGTAATTTTGAGTCGGCGCTAAACAATCAATAAACAAAGATCACTAAATTACCTTAAATTTAAAGAAATAACCAAATAAAATTAACAATGCAATAGTTATTTCTTTAAATTTAAGGTAATTTAGTGATCTTTGTTTATTGATTGTTTAGCGCCGACTCACAATTACTTAGGTATACTTACATTAGTTGAAGAACTTAGTTATTAAGGTTAATAAAATAAAGGTTTATTATTTTTTGCTTTTCAGTTTTTTCGGCGGTTTAATTTTTTTGATAAAAAGTTTTTATTTTATAATTTTTTGTGGCTATAATTTACTATTTACTACTAATAGTACTACTATATTCCTACCATAAATCATCCCCTGTTTCCTTACCCATAGTGTTAGATTTTTTTTCCAAGTTTATATAGGACCAAGTTCGGGGTATACCCTTTCCAATAAAAAACGAATTATTAAAATCGGACTATTCTACCAAAAGTTATGCGTGATCATACATTACAATCAGTGAGTGAACAACAATCAACAATCATCCCCTGTTTTCCTACCCTTATGGTTGAATTTTTTTTACCAAATTTATATGGGACCAAGTTCGGGGTATACCCTTTCCAATAAAAAAAGAATTATCAAAATCGGACTATTCTACCAAAAATTATGCGTGGTCATACATTAAAATCAGTAACTGAACAATCATCCCCTGTTTTCATATCGTTAGGGTTGGATTTTATTTTCCAAATTTAAATGGGACCAACTTCTAGGTATATCCTTTCCAGTAAAAAAAGAAATTAAAAATCGGACTACTCTGGAAAAAGTTACACGTGGTCATATATAAAAAAAAAATATACGCGTCGACTTGAGAACCAACTCCTTCTTTTCGTCGGTTAAAAAGTTAAATTTTTTCTCCAACATACGAATTAAATTAGATCGTACGAAGCATGTCTTGAAATAATATTCCTGTTGGTGTTCCTCAGGAGTCTTTAGGAACCCCAACAGGAATATTATTATATTTATACATGTATAATTTTATTTGCAAATGGATACAGCAATTGTTTTGAGACTGTTTGAACGTAAGTTTTCGGGTTGCACTTGTATAGTAGTTGTTATGAATGGACAATATTTACACGTTTTAATTTGGTGACTAAAACGAATATTACGCAAAAAGTAAGTGGCCGTCCACCGTATTTTATTGCGAACGCCGGTGAGCTTTCCGAAAATTGTACGAAAATTAGTGTTCTCTTAACATCCCGTCAAGAAAGTATGCGTCCAAATAGTTTACGATTTACGCAAGCTTTACCTTCCAACACTACTTTTAATTCTAATAATTGCTGCCGCTTATTGTTGAGTTGTCGTTACGCATGGGAAAATTGCGTTAGTAGATAATTTTACACCTATTATTAACGTGTGAGCATTTAATTCAAAATAGTGTTTATCGTGTAAACATTTAAAATGTCGCTGTGGATGAACTATTTGCGAACTGGGCATAGAAGAAACAAAAAATATCAGAGACATTCGACGTCGTTAAGTGTAAGTCAAATTATTTCATTAAAGTTAATTAGCATGGCGTCAAGATATTAATAGGTCATTGCTTATGTTGTCATCTAATAGTCTTTTTTCAGTAAGGACTAAAATATTTAGAATAAATATATACTTAGAATGATTGTTAAAGGCTTTTAATTATGAATTAATAAATGAAAGTATATATAAGTCCTACTTAAGATGCATTTATTTGAGATAAACTTCATTTTGCATATATACACCGTGGTCACTCTTACAGTGCATATCATTGGGATATTCGAAACAGTAAAAAATACAGCAGGGGTTAAATTGGAGAAAAGCTGCGTTTTTTATGCTTATCAATAATCTGAAAAAAAACTAAGTGGATCTCAACTGTTCTGGAGTTATTGCAAAAAAACTGAAAATTATGAAGGTTTATTTACGTTTATTGACAATAGGCTTTCTAATTAAATTATCAAAAATTTCCCAGGCTGATTGAAAACATCATTTTTGAATGTTCACTTTTAATTTTCTTATGGACACTATGTAGGAAGTTTATGCCAGTAAATAGAACAAAAAAATATGATTTAAAACATTAGTTCTCCCATTATAACATCATTTTTGTATTTATTCGTTAATATCAAATCTCTATGCTTACGAAATGCGGAATTCATTGACTAATAATTGATGCAATTGATAAGTTGACCATGAAAAAAAATACACCTGTTTCACATTGTGGCATTACCTACCTCGTACATAAATACTTATTGATTATTTGTTTTCGTAATTTCGTGTATTGATTACAATTAAAATTTTAGAATTTTTAGATTCTTGCTTTCTTTTATTTCATGACCAACTTATGTTTCAATTGTTATTAATTAATTTGGCATTTCTTAGAAAAGGTAACTTGATATTAACGAATAAATACAGTAATGATGTTTTAAGGGAGGACATAAAAGTTCTAACTTGAATATGCGTTACATCAATGAAATCGTATTTTTTGCTTGGTATAAAAATCTAACAGGATGTCCATAAGAAAATGAAATGTGAACATTGGAAAATAAGATTTTGAATAGACCTAGAAAAATTCTAATTAATAACTTATTTAGAAAGGCAATAATGTAAATGTAATAGGTTTCATAATTTTCTTGAAATAAATAAAAAAATTATAAAAGAAAGAATAAAATGTCAAATTTCTGTTTTCTTGCGATAACTCGAGAACGGCTGAGGTTCACTTAGTTTTTTTTTTTCAGAATTTTGAAGAGGATAAAAACCACAAGTTTTTCCTTATTTAACCCATGATGCATCTCTTACTGTTTTGGATATTCCAATAAAAATAAAATAGAGTTACAGTTGAAGAACGAAAGGTTAATCAAAATGTTTTTTTGTTTTATTTTTAATTTACTTAATGAGCGACAATTAATATTTCTTTTGACTACAGAAATCAAAAACTGTTTTTTAGTTTATTTACTTTTTAAAAGTAATGGTAATGTTATTTGAGAGATTGCGAATGGATCGATTATTCAACGACATACGAAATGTATTCTGTTTTGCACGGGACTGTAAAAAATGACACTTCCCTAAGCTGGGAATGTGGCGTTTGCATCCGCAATGAGGGGGGACCTAAACAATAACGTGCAGCGTTGTCGAAGATACTATTATAATCAATAGGTTATCGTAAATGTCTATTCAATCCCTTATTTGCAGAACTATTCGCGTGGTATCATTACGTGAACACTAGATCCGTCTTCTGGGCAGACGTTTTTCGGGACGAAATTTGGAATACGAGTGTGACACCTTGAAGTTTGGTATACTTGCAATGGACAAATTAGAAAATAAGAGGGAACGAACGTGTATGAAGCAGCATACAAAGTTAGATATGACTTATGTTTATCCTACACTTGACCACATTTAAATCAATGTGACCTACAATTCTCGGACGTAGGGGAAGATTGGCACCATTCATACTGTTTTTAACTTTGATTTTTCAAAATTTAGAAATCACTACATAGTATAAAACAAAGTCGCTTTCCCGCTGTCTGTCCCTATGTATGCTTAAATTTTTAAAACTACGCAACGGATTTTGATGCAGTTTTTTTTAAAAGATAGAGTGATTCAAGAGGAAGGTTTGTATGTATAATACATGCATAATATAGTAGGCAAACACTGATAATTTTAGAGGTTTCTAATGTAATGTCGTAAATAAACACATTTTTTGCGCTTACATAACAAACGCTGGCTGAACCCTACGAGATAGATCAAAATAATGCACTACAATATTGTACATCTTAAAAGGGTCTACAAAACAGTCCGCGATGGTATATGTCTATCTCTTAAGGATAACCCACAATAACTATTATCCTTTACTTTTTATGAGAAATAATGACTTATTTACGACTTATTCTTATCCAATTAAGTACCTTAAATACATTGTGCATTTAATATAGATCAATATGGCCCTTTACAACATGTAATTTAAATGAATATTTTCGAAGATATTACAGATTTAATATGCAGATCTAATGACAAAAAAACTGTGAATGTTGTATATAAAGACATTCTGTAGTATATTTAGTATGTTCAGGAGGTATCTTTTGAAGATTTCCCCTTTTCGATAATAATCTAAACAAAACAAAAATATATTTAGTATCAGCATTGCACCCGTGCGAAGCTGGGGCGGGTCACTAGTTAATAATAAATTGCTCAATCAGTTATTATAATATTTTTTTCATACATTCGGTTTCTTAGTCAAAAGGTTAGCAGTCATCATCTTTTAAAATAAATGGAAGGAATAGAATTTTAGTAGAAACTGTCAAATGTCCGAATCTACTCCACTAGGGGTACATTCGTAAATGGGTAGGGGAACATTCAGACGGTGCGGGGTAGCTCGGTTTTCTCAAATACAAACATTTATTACTATTAGATAAGATATTTATTGTACTTATTTTTATAATTTGGTAAGTTTTAAACTTTTTTATTTTATCGAAAAATTGTATGTAGTGAATACAGTAGTAGCAAGAAATTAAGAAAGGTGCTTCAAGTAAATGTCACGTTAAAAAAATTATGGGAACTACAAATTTTTAGGTTTGTGTATTACCTACTTACTTTAAAACACTACAGTGAAAATAGAGATAACTTCTTTAAAATATAAGAATTGCTGTTAAAATGTTTGTTCTACTTTTATGTCTGAAATGTTTAATGCTGTTTCTCGTCTATCGGATGTACTTATTGCTTACTATATATTTTTTTAAATTTGAATTATTAATAGGTAACTTGTATTTTTTTGCATTAGACCAAGTCAGCGCCAGAGGTAGCTGAATCTCCCACAAGGCCTCTTTCGGAATCTAGTGACTTCAGCGTAGAAGGAGCAGGAACATTTGGTCGTCGAAGACAATTGCCTGATAAGACGAGACCATTAACCAGGTACCTCCCCATTAGAAGTTCAGAGCTAGATTTGAGACAACATATAGAATCTGCAGGTAATATGACCGTTAAATGTATGGTAAAACTTATGAAATGAAGAAAACAGTGATTCTGAAGTTTCAAACAAATTTAATTACCATCACTGCAATTGGTCCGTTACGCAGTAGCTTTATCAGATGACGAAGTACATTAGTAATTAAATTTATTTGAAACCTAAAGATTCGTTTTTTCTTTATTTCATATTATGAAGTTATGTGTATGAAGTTTTGCACGATCATATTTTTATTAAACTCATTTTAAACCCCGTTTCCAAAATAATTCACTGCTACTTTCATATTTCAGTTTTTATTGAAAAATTAAAGAGATGCACACGATAGAACGGTTTTAATACGAATCTAAGATGCTTTTGTTAGTTGCACTTATTAAGTTTTTTATCAAACTTCCTTGCAATGAAATGAATTTATTTCTGGAAGGATAGAAATAAATTTGATCGGATATATTGTACAAAACTATTTAGATTTTCATTATTAAAGATTTATTTAATTCAGCTTAGAGAATATCCTGAGAGGTTATCAATCTTATCAACAGCTTCAGTGCTAAGTAGGGATTTCGTTATATAGGATGTTACAAACACCATGAGAGAAACCTCCAAATTATGTTTATGAAATACTAATTTCACATAGAAATGGATATTAACGATTTTCGGCTCTTTTTCCATTACTGGTGCTATGAATCCTTCCTTCATAACAAATTTCAAGATTCTACATAAATCTTCAGGAGGTAACATTACAGGTTTTGGAGTACTCAATGAATAAATTTACTATTAATTTGTCAGGACGAAAATATACACATGAATGACACTTTTACAAAATTGTAAGACTATAGACTTCGGTTTAGTATTTGGTATTAATTTCAATTCGATACTAGGAGTTCCCCTTTTTTCAATTCGAAATGTAAAGTGAATGAATGTGTCGAGTATGGGATTCGTTTCAGCAATTAGATATCCTTATATTTAAATGGATCTTGTTGGTACATATGTAATCCTAAAATGTAGCATCGTACTACAGATGGCGTTTACCTCGCCATTTGTGGTATTTTCTAAGTTGGTCTGTGTTCTGTCGGAGCTGTCTGCGACGCGCTGATGGGATCCAAAAAGATCGAAATCGCGTTCAGCGTGTGACAGTTTCGACAGAATACAGACCACTTCGAATTATTTTATTCTATTATCGAGTATGATTATAATCAATTATAGTCACAATAAATTTTAATTAAAGAAGTGCATTTGTTGTAAATTATACTACCGACAGAAGAAACGTATTTTATGTTAAAGTACTTCAAATGAAAATGCTGCTTACCACTTTTGTTTCTCATAATCCAAAAACAGAGCTTTTATTGAAACCCTGGAAAAGAAACTACCTACTTCTATTTTTAGTAGTTGAGTATAAATACGCTTGGCAAAAAATGTAATCATGTGAAACAAGAAAAAAATGCACACGAACAATTCAAACACTTTATGCTGTATTACGTTTGGCAATATGCCAAACCATGTATTGGTATTATTAAAAAGGTGAACAATAACGAATTCGTTCTTATTATTTTATTTATGATATTTGTTCATTTGGCAAACGCAGCATGCTTCATTTTGACATTTATTGCAAAAACAGACGGTTGCTTAAAAAGAACCACTACATATTTACGAGCATTTAATGGCTTTTGAAAACGCTTGGAGATCTTAACGTTGAATGCATATATTTATCATATTGATTTCCGCTTATGTATTTCCATTATGACTACTTCAATTTCCACACAATAAAATACCAATTTACACATAAACAAATGTTGCCTGTATTAAGTATTTAACGTAAAATTGAGTGTTACAATAAATTTTTCGAAAAATTGATATATAAGATATAGATAATATGCTTTTTGATATACATGGATGTACCAAAGATAGCAAGTGAATATGGACTTACGATAAACTGAAAGAGTAGTAACCTTGTGCATAGATACTAAAGTAATGGAGAATGTAAAAGTGATGTCTGAGGAGAAGATTAAAACAATTAGTGGGTATTCAGAACCTTAGAAAGTTCGGCCCCACTATGCGACATAAGCGTGACTGACTTAATACGTAGTATAAATACTTCAATTTGGTCAGAAGGAAGCTGATTAACAAACCTACATAATCCTAAAGCCGAAACAATTTCACACTAATGCGTCAGCTCAAGGATGTGGTGCAATTTTATTGCAACGTGATAAAAAAATACCACAGCTATGAATTAGAGATTTTATCAATTTTGAAGGTTATCAAAAAAATCCGAGTACATTTGCTTGGAATTAAGTCCAGATTTATTACCAATTATCAGAGTATTTACTATGAATTTAAAGAAAAAGAACGCACGCGCCCATGTTGCACGATGGACACTCATTCGACAAGTTACGATTGTGTTGGGAAACATCGATCAGGACAGTGCATACGACACGTTGATAGTCTGATTTAGCCGTCATCCTTTGCCAAAGGTAATGCTTATAGATGTTTATAGATAATGGCACAATTTAGGAAATCTCAAAAAGATGATAAGTTGCAAAAGAATAATAGAAAAAAATTAATAGTGGTGTCAAAGAGTCTACAATCGAACATTATTTGATTTGTATATGAAAAAGGTCACTTGAACATTTCTCGAACAGAAAAGCTATTAAAGAGAGATTATTGATTGATAGGTATGTGACCAAAGATAGAGGTGATCAAAAATTGCGTTAACTGCATTTTTGGCAAATACAATAGAAAAACAGACAAGCCAGAAGCCTGGTTAAACCCAATTGACACACGGGGCTGTATTTTAAATACATATCATATTGACTATCTGGGTCCACTCCCCATCACATAAAGAGATATAAATATAATGTTTTTTCTATAATCTATGCATGCTTGATTGGCTCTACTCAACAAAAACAATAGTGCCACAGAGGTCATAATAAACAATCGGAAGAAGCAATCGTTTGATATCTGATCGAGGCATAGCGGTTACGTCGACTTTAAAAATTACTTCAATAATGAAGATATATTTAATACCACTATAGCAACTGGTGCACTTAGAGAAAATGAGGAAGTTAAACGTTTAAATATCATAATTCTTATTTCATTGTTGTTGTTCCATTAACAGTAAACTGTCCGGAAACCCGAAACATGGTATAAACAACTCCATATGTGCCAACAATATTTAAATTTCCATCAAGAAGTACTAATTTTCAGTCGTTTTAATTACTGTTTAGTTCAAGAATGTAGTTATAAATCCAGAAGTTAAAAAATAATTGAAATTCCAAAAACGAGATGAGATGAGAGAACGTGCTAGTGAATCAATTAAGAAAATTCAAGAGAATAAAAGCGTTACTGCAAGAAGAGAAAAGAATCAATTTAGTATAAGGAGGAAGGCATCGTTGTCATCCAGCAAACACAGCAACGACCAAGCTCCAAGTTTAACGCAAAATTTTTATGCGATTCCCTCTTGCACCTAGTTGACACTATAAAGCTCTGCACTTATTTCAGAAACATATCATGCTATATTGTATGGAAAATGATAAAATAAATAATGAAGGTACTCATAAGTACCGAATATTATGTTTGTAGTCAGCAATTTGCAAATGCAAACAGGAATATTGAGAAGAATCTTATAAAATTAACGAAATATTGCAGTTATCAGCAAAAGGATGCCCAATTAAGTAATTATTAGTACAACGGTGGCAACTTAATCCAAAAGTCAGTGCCACCGTCACGTTTCTCACACCCGCATTTTTGTTTTCTACATTTTCACCATTATAGCAATTTTTAGTAGCGTGAGAAGGAATAAAAAATTTTACAACTGTTTATTCAAAAACCGCAATTCTTTTAGTAGTTGAGTATAAATACGCTTGGCAAAAAATGTAATCATGTGAAACAAGAAAAAAATGCACACGAACAATTCAAACACTTTATGCTGTATTACGTNATAAACAGAATATAGTGTTATAGCCAGTGTACAGTGTACAATTTGGATTGTAGTACCTTAAATAAAAGTATATTACAGTTGTTAGTCTTATATAGAAATAAGGTTCGAAGAAATTTTATTCACTTTTTAATTTTGTTTTAAGGCCATCAAGTAGTCTTGTGTCCCCATGTCTTAATAAATTCCTATAGTTGTCGGGGATTTCTGCATAAGAGAGGTTCAAAACTAAACAACTGGTCCAGAAGATGGTTTGTCTTCGATAGGAACAAACACACTTTAACCTATTATATCGACAAAAGTGAGAAAAAACCTCGAGGTGGAGCATATTTTCAGGTAATTAAATATTAAAAGCAAATATTTTAATACACCTTAAGGAAAATTGAGCGATTGATGGTTATAAGTATACATATATATTGTATGTTTATAACAAAATAAACATTAAAAACCATATTATGCTCCTAATGTTTGTGCAGACATTTTGTTGAAGATATTAGTTTAGCTGATGCACATTAGGTATTTTTATTACTTACTTTTGAATGTTATCCATATTTAATATATTAGTATTTGTAAAATACATCACAGCAAATTAATCTTTAGGCAATAGAAGAAGTTTACTTGGATCATTCAAACTCTATGAAATCACCCAATCCTCAGCTAACGTTCATTGTAAAAACCCACGAAAGATGTTACTACTTAATGGCTCCATCTCCAGAAGCTATGAGAATTTGGATTGACGTTATTTTTACAGGAGCTGAAGGATATCGCGAGTTTGAACATGGCACTTGAATTTTAAAAAAGGTTGCCTATCATGGTCGTTGTAAAAAAGTTAATTGAAAAGACACAGCTTTTTTTTTGAAAAAACACTATTATATTCACAGAGATAAAACCAGTAATTTGTAGTTAATTAGTATCGATTTTATTTTTAGAAATGCCTTGACAGGGTGAATATTCCTATTGCACAAAAATAATAATAGTTCAAACTATAAATTAAAACTCTTACTCAGTTTACTGGTGCTTACATATAAACGATTTGTTGAAATAAATGCATATAAAAGTATTTATTCCGAAACTAAAAATTATCTGATCTGTTCTTCAATCATACCTCGCGTATAAATTTGTTGAAAGGAAAGACATTGATTTTTTTAATTCTTTGTGAAATAGTTCAAATAAAATAATCATAGATTTATACTTCTGTAATGCAGTGCCTTAATTTTAAGACTGTATTTACCAAATAAAATGAAGCCAGTTTAAAATAATTTGGCATCTAGTTGTTAATAATAGCTCAATTAATATAAAGAAGTGCATGTTGTTAGAAAGATAGAGGTAGCTAAAATTGAATGGCAACACTTTTAATCTCATTATGAATGAGTAAATGCAATTTTCTGCATTTAGTCGCTTTAATCTACATATATTTGTATATATAGTATATGACATTTTAATGAGAATTAACATACTTACTATATTTTTACTTATGTTTTATACACAAGACTGTTACAGTGACAAAATGTTACTATATTTATGTAATCTACAATTTTACATAAAATATATACAGTTATAATTCTGTTTTTTTTTTGGAATTACATATATTTAAAATAATTTCTACAAATTAATCAATATTAAATGAAAATTTGAATGTGCTGTTTGATGGAATAAATTTAAAATGGTTACAGTTCGTTACCACGTTCTGATCTTTATCTTTCAAAGTGTGATCATGCGTATAGCTGGAATCTTCATTAACATTTAGTGCATCAAAATTGAATTTAAAACTTTCCCCTTCATTTAATAACACTGACTTTCTTACAAAAGTTGATTTACTATCAGGCTTTGCTGTTACAATTTTTGCATTGATTTTTCCTGTAATTTGTAAAATATATAAGAGTAACTTGACATTTTATGCTACTTTTATTACCAGAATACTTTTTTTCTTCAGCAACCATTTTTGCTCTGTAATCACCAAAAGACAAACGCATTACTTGCCTCTTTTGTGGTACTGGTGTGGTACTACTCATTAAAGTATTTAATGCCTTAACATGATCTTGAACTAAAATTATACACTTAGTTTATATTCATTATTTAAAGTAATTGTAAATTATTGTATTGTAAACTGACCCTGCTTTTTATTTAATTTTCCAGCTTTTAAAGCTTTTTGCAATTGCTCTATACACCAACATAATTCAACTTCAAATTCCCTTTTAAGTTCTTCTTGATCGTTATTTGATGTGCATGTATAGTATGTCTTCAAATTATGATCGGTTTTAGGTAATGAAGGTGCACACTTAATTTTTCTATTTTTGTTTTTACCAGATGGAGGCATTTGTCTATAAAATCTCATAAAATAGAGTAAACACTATAAACTCCAATGTACATTATTAGTCTGCCAGTGTTTTGTAGGTTAATTTATGATCTTTATGATCATATGGTTAATTTCATAAATAAGAAATATATATACCTTATCTATGGTTAATTCAATGTCAAAATCATAGAGATAATAGAATAGATAGTCCAAAAATTTCACTTATACCAACTGCTTGTGAATTCTAAATATCAAAAAAAAAATTGGGAGACACTAGCACTCTACCACTACAAAAATGAAAAAGTTTCATAAAAAGAAATGAAAGAAGGAAGGCATTTAAGTAACATTATAAAAGAAATGCGAAAATTAAGAAAATTGAAAGATACAGGCATACAGGATATTGAAGTAGTGTACTTTTATCTTTGAGGAGTAACTTGCGGACGTTTGAGAACAATTGCACTTATATTAGGTAAATGCGAAAGACGTGTAGCTTAAGACAACATCTCTCAAGTTAACTTTGTAAAATGAAAACTTATTCTTAGTATTTTCTTTTTCGACAAGTATGTTCAAGATGATAAAGTAGACAACATTCACGAAGTGAGTTGCCGTATACTAAGAAAATTCAAAATTCAGTACTGCGTGAGCAACATTTGTCTGTAAACAACATCCCATGAAAAAAATTAGGTTCTGCAGAACTTTTCTTTTGAAGTCCGACACAAATCCACTCGCGGTTGAAGATTAATTTCAAGCAAGGCTTGCACTCATTATAGATGATAAGGATATTTCTCTAAAATATGCTATACTATGACATGAGAGGAGCCAACGTTCCCTGCAATTTCGCGTGTATTATTTTGGATGTTGTCTTCTATGAAATGAAGGATTTTGTCCTCTACAGCTGCGATATAGTTCAAATTCGTAAATAAGTATAATGTCACATCCATGCTACAACAACTGCTCTACAGTGACATACTGACCTATTCCAATTTCTAATATTGTATTGCTGAATTAGTTTCTTGAACTGCACTCGACTGACTAAATGCAAGGTTAAAACACTAAGAGAATAAACAACTGGCTGCAACATAAACCTGATCCGACAGGACTTGAACCTTGACGAAACTCTTGTACAAACTAGAGTGGGTGGATCGGCTTGCGAGTCTCGATGATTTAGGGAGCCGGACCATAGGTTCAACCATAATGGGGGGTTTTTAAAGAGAAACCAGACTAAAACAAGACCCTGAAGAGGTCAGAAGCTCTTTCAGTACTCAGGGTGGCAGAGATCACGAAAATCGGTATGGCACTCTCATACACAATACTGCGATGTGGAAGGCAACGGAAAACCACCACATTATGATATCCCAAGTAAAACTCACCGAAACAGAATGATGGCGTCCTCTGGGGTAAAGCTCTCCGAACGTGAATTACTCCCCCCTTCGGATGTCCTGGCATTGACTACCTCGGTGGATGTCATCAATAAGTGTAATAGGGTTAGATGCAATATTTCATGAGTTGGAGCGTGGAATGTTAGGACAATGAGACAAGTAGGGAAGTTGGAAAATTTGAAAGTAGAAATGAATAGATAAGGATTAGATATAGTAGGTATTAGTCAAGACCGTTGGTCCGAAGCTGGAGACTTCTGGAGTGGAGATTTTAGAGTAATACATACAGGATAGGTGGAAGGTAATTCGAGGGTAGGAATTGTAATGCGTAGGAAGATAGGGCAGAGCGTAGAAAGTTATTTACAGAAAAGCGAAAGGATAGTTATAGTTACATTAAACTTGAAGCAGGTAAAAACGGTATTAGTACAGGTCTACATGATGTTACAGTAATGAAGATAGCGGTTTATACAGATACAGAAGACGTGTTACGTTTAGTGAAAGGACAGGAAAACCTTAATAGTTGTAGGAGACTTCAACGCAGTAATAGGTGAAAGTAAAGTGGGGGGAACAGTAGGTTCTTTTGGATTTAGTAATAGAAGTGATAGGGGGGATAGGCTAATAGAATTTTGCGATAAACATAACTTAACCGTCAACAAATACTTTATGCAACCATCACGTTAGGAGGCAGTATACGTGGAAGATGTCAGGTGATTTAGGGAGATATCAGTTAGATTACATACTTATTAGACAAAGATTTAAAAATCTAGTGAAGAACTGTAGGAGTTATCCAGTACCAGATATAGATAAAGATCATAACTTAGTAGTTATGTAGACCAATCTTAAATTGAAAATTCTGAAAAAGAGGGAATGTAGGAGACCGCTTGACTGAGAAAAGCTGAAATGTAACGACAGGCTAGGTAAAAAGACAGACGAAATACTAAAGGCGACGAGAGAAACGAATGCCAGGGACATAGAGACAGAATGGAACTGCATTAAAATGTGCCTAAAGTCAGCAGCTACAGATATACTAGGTCTTAAACAAAATGAAAGTAGGAAACCCTGGATAACAAATGAGGACAGACGAAGAAGGGTAAAAAAGATAAAGGCGATAAAGTGGGAAATAATTAGGAAGTGTAGGGCAGCTAAGGAACAGTGGATTGATAGGATGTGTAAAGAAGTAGAAGAAAAGTTTGAAGTAATTAAAACCGATGAAGCGTATAATATAATTAAAAGGAACTTAGGGTATAGTAGTAATAATATAAGAAACGAGGCAGGGGTCATTTTGATGGAAAATGAGGAAATGGCAGATAGGTAGAACGAATATTTAGAGAGCCTATACACAGGCCATCAGTTAGGAGACATATTAGAGAAGGAAGATAGTGTGAAGGTAGTTCGATGTAGCATTAAAAAACTTAAACAATAACGAGGCGCCAGGTGTAGATGGGATACAGGCGGAAATTTTAAAACATGCAGAGGTTAGAAATCGCATATTTAAGCTAGTTAGTCACATTTACGAGACGGGGAATGTTCCAGAGGATTATAAACGAACGTGATACTGACCATATTAGGAGGAGATGTACACTGTCACCGCTACTTTTAATCTATACATCGAAGACACGATTAACATCATTAAAGACAGTACAACTGTAGGGATAGATATACAGGGACAAAAGATTGTTTATATTTGCAGATGATATAGCAGTATTAGCATCTAGCAAGGAGGACTTAGAGATATCTTTAAATAAAATGGAAGCGGTATTGACAAAACAGTACTGTATGAAAATAAATAAAAGTTAAACAAAAGTACTAGTATGCCAAGGAAGAAAAAGTAGGGAGAGAGTGAATATAGGAGACGAAAAATTAGAAGAAGTAGCCGATTTTAGGTATCTAGGAAGTCAGATAAGTCAGAACGGAACGAGTAGTAGGGATATAAAGCAGAGGGTAGCGCAGGGTCGAGTCGCCTTCAATAAAAAGAAGTTACTTCTATGCTCACGAACGGTTAATGTAACAACTCGAAAAAGATTGGTAAAGGCGTATATGTGGATCGCGGCGCTGTAAAGGTGCGAAACATGGACGGTGGGGGCGCGGCGGAAAAGAAAAGTTAGAAGCGTTCGAAATGTGGTGTTACAGGCGAATGATGAGGATATCGTGGATAGAGAAGGTTAGAAATGAAGAGGTATTAGAAATAATAGGAGAACAGAGGACTCTATGGAAGTCAATAAGAAATAGTCGATATAGGGTAGTACATCACCTTCTCAGACATGAAGGTCTAGTGTGATAGATTAGATTACTGTTCGCAAATAGTTAAGGATTGGGTTGTTCTAGTTGTAGGGAAATGCGAATGTTAGCTCAGGATAGGAAAGAGTGGAAGTGTGTGTCCAATCAGTCTTAGGACTAACGACCTTATGATGATGATGATGTAACATAAACATCTTGAGTCGCACTTAATCTAATCTAATAAAAGCAAAAAATGTATGACCAAATTAATACAAAAGAATACAATACTGATGCTAATTACCAGCCGATTGAACACGACGTTGCGTTGTATTTCTTAACCAGGGTCGGAATTGAATTTACCTAAATACGTTGTTCTCAAAAACCATGAACCTTTGAACATACAAAACGTTAACATAATTTTCTTGTTTCGTAGCGCCCTAATGCTTCCTGCAAGTCTGCAGTGATGTCTGTTGCACCTTGTACGTAAAACTAGATATAATTAAGATTCGAAATCGAGAGAGCTCGTTTTTAAAAAAATAAAAGCCTACTAATTCGCATTAAACAAATTTATTTGACACATAGCAACGATTTGAAACAGCAATACTTAATCGAATTATACCTTAAAAATGCTTAATTGATTGTGTGAACAATTCGTATAGTATATAATTCGTTTACGTACGATACATGCACATGTATGCAAGCTTCATTTCCTATCGTCCCTGCCGGTTTTCCAAAACTAGGTCAATCATCGAACTGGGACCAAACTTCGGTAGCTACCAAATTTGGGTATGTACTTGGTAATTTTGATCGTCGATATGCCGCAGAGGTAAGTGACATCATCGTCAACCCTCCAGAGGAAGAACCATACAGCACAATCAAGGCATAGCTAATCCGACGACTTGATGTTTCACAACAGGCACGTACAAAACAGCTACTCGAAAAAGAGGTACTCGGCGACCGTAAACCCTCTCAATTCCTGAACCATCTTGGTAGTTTAAGCGGTGCCACTATCACCGACAGTCTTCTACGAACTATATGGTCTGGTCGCCTCCCAACCCACATCCAGGCGATCCTTGCCGCAATGAAAGACAAGGAGCTGGATGACGTCGCAGAAATTGCCGATAGCATCATTGACTCGGTCCACGGACACACTATAGCCAATGTAACCCCTAATAATGGTCCCACAATACAAAACCTGGTAGAGATGGTCAACTCCTTCAAAATTGACCTCAACGACATGAGACGACGAATGGCAAGACCTTCGCGATCTCGATCATGTTCTCGTAGTTTTTCTGGAAAGTGCGGCACAAATAATGACAATAGGACAAACGGTCAGTGTTATTATTACCGCAGATTCGAAAACGAAACTTTCAAGTGCGTCCCTCCATGTACAGTGCGGTCGGAGAGCCGCAACGGAGATCACTAGCACCGATGAGTGATATCCGCCTTATACAACGTCGCCTTTTCGTTATGCACAGAGTTACACGCCTACAATTTCTAGTCGACACAGGTGCTGATATCTGCATATATCCGAAGTCTCTAACACCTGGTCCACGTGAAAAGCCATCATTTATGTTACAAGCAGCAAATGGCACCATTATTCCGACCTACGGCTACCTTAACCTGTCCTTCAACTTAGGCCTACGCAGAAACTTCTCATGGCGATTTATAATTGCGGATGTCAACACTATCAATTGCTCATATATGCAAAAAATCAACGTCTCCTGGAACAGCTCACCCTGCTCACCACCTGGAGGTGGTGACTGGTTGCAATCAACCCTGAATAACAATCATCACGGATAACAAATCCGCCACATCCAGATACCTACTCAAGCAATTTTCCATCACTACTGCGCCCCAACTATCTCTTCATGCACCCCAAGCATTCAATAAGGTATTATATAAACACAAAATCCTGGTCCTTCCGTAGCTTGCAAAATACGACGTCTAGCTCCGGACCGATTAGCAGCAGCCAAAAGAAAATTCGAGGCAGTGGTACAACAGAGCATCGCTCGCCCTTCCTCCAGACTTTGGGTATCGTCACTACCACCTTGCGGAAATTATCGCTCACTTAACATAAGAACTATTCTCGACAGACACCCTGTCCGAAACATTAGAGATTTTACGCATACATTATTAAACAAAACAAAATTCTTCACAATTGACCTGGTTCGAGCAACAATCAAATTCCGGTTGCGGACGAAGACATTCTGAAAACGGTAATAACAACTCCATTTGGATTATTCCAATTTCCGTTTATAAATTTCGGCTTACGCAACGCCAGTCAAACATTTCAACGATTCATAGACGAAGTATTACGTGCCCTCGACTTTTGTTGTGAAGAACGATTATCAAGATTTGATATAAGTTTACCGAAGTTTTTAAACATAGTGATTTGTTTATACAGTACATTGAATTTCCGTCAAGTAAAAGAAGAATCAATCAATTAGATAAAGTCTAAATTAATTTGATTACAAGCTTTCTGTTTGGAAAATGTAATGTGTTTACCTTTTATACTATATGCATATACACACGAATACATTTGTTTTCCTATGTATGCCTAAAATAATAAAAAGAAATACAGTAAGTCCCGCTTAACGCTGTTTCGTTTAGCGCTGTTTCGGTTTAGCGCTCTTTTATTTCAACCAGGTGAATCCCCGAAATTGTGTGCAGCGCTAGGTTTCCAAATATTAGTGCTGCATTGAATTTGGCAACTTCAACAATAAGGACAATTCTTAAGAATAAAGAAAAAATACTGTCATTGGCAACTGCAATTACGTCAAGCTCTGCAACTAGAATTACCCGTTCTAGAAATAACATTATAGAGGAAATGGAAAAACGACTATCTGTATGGATTGACCATGAAATTGAACGCAATATGCCATTAAGCCAATCTATCATAATGGACAAAGCTAGAAGAATTATTAATTTCATTCAGGTTGAGGCAAGTGACATAAGTGAAATTTTCGTTGCTAGTCGAGGATGGTTTAATAGATTTACACATTGAAATAATCTTCACAACATAAAGATTACAGGAGAAGCAGCAAGTTGTGATACGAAAGTGGTGGCTGAATTCCCAGCAACATTAAAAACAATAATTAAACAAGGGAGCTATTCTCCAGAATTGGTTTTTAATGTTGATGAAACAGGCCTAACCACTACTAGTTTACCACTCCAAAAACATAATAAAAATGTTCTATCCATCTTCCCCTAACCCCATTACTTACATGTTAAGATAGCCTCGTTTAGCGCTGGTGCGCATTACGCTCTACTTTGATGAAGCGGGGTCTTACTGTACAGATATTTTGGTCTCCAGTACAAAGTTAATACGTCTTAATTACACATTTGTCGGAGATTGCGAGCTAGTGCCTACTACTGGGTTAGTAGATCAGTTGGCAATCGTTTAAATAGCGGAATCAATAATAATAAGTGAAGTTGAATTTAAAGATCGATCAAGGAATCACTAGAAGTAAGGCAGGGCGGTGAGGCGGTTTGCTGTCTTCGTTTACACTGTAAATGTTCCCAGCCATTTTTAATGTTCTCTATACAATAAGTTAGGCTATTATTTTAATTGTGTTATTTAATTATTTATTAATTACTAAATGCCCCGGCAGACTTCTTTCTAAAAACTCACTTCCTCAAAAAAATACCAACAGATATATTTATTAAAAAGGTTCGGAATACAACCAACTAATAATGAAATAAACGTAATTAGCCGCCTTCTCGCGCTTCTTCTCGTTCGTCGCCGTCGTCATTCATACTGCTCTCTTCCTTTTCCCCGCGAATCCAGAATGCCTCCCACGCCCCCCCGGACGCATGGGGCTCCCAGCTTTGCATGAAGCTTACATTTCTGTGAAAAGTTATTGACTTGTCGAAGTCCAATAAAAAAAATGAATAAATTAACAGGAATAATAAATTAACAAGAGAAACGCAAATTCAAAAACAACCAAGAAACCAGTAATTTTATTTTCCTTGATAATACGAAAACCCTTTTTTTTGGAACTTTATTTTGGGCAGGCATAGATTAATAACCATACAGCCTAATTAAGTTGAAAACATGTCAAAGGGAATCCTTACGCGCCTTTGTTTTGTTTTGATTGACGTCGAATGTTTAACAGCTGGGGACAGATGTTTTAATTTTTTAATTAATTTTACTTTGTGGTTTGTATGGTAAAAGAAAAGTAAAATTTTTACGTATTTCTGGGCAATTTTTCAAATCTTTTTCTTCATAAGAACCTTCCACGGACTTCAAGGAATATTAAAAAAAAAAAATATATCAAAATTGGTCCAGCCGTTTTCGAGTTTTGCGCTTAGCAACACATTTAGCGAATCATTTTTATTTATTTACGTAGGTAAGTTATTGTCAATAAATTATTAACTAAATTATATAGAATTATCTAAATTTGTTTTTATATGACAGTAGGTACTGACAATAGTATATTAGGTAATATATGTACGTATACTGGTACGTGTCATGGAGTTGAGGAAATAGCGTGTCTCCGAAAGATAAATTCAAATCACGCAAAGAGACACAGGTTTGCACCAACGAAATAAATGTAATAATTAAAGATCGATTTAGTACACGAGGGATGGACCTTTAATACAAACAGAGGGATTGTTTAAATCTAACGTTTTAGTTTTTTCGCTGCGATTTCCTTACCTCTTTCATATTCTTACATTTAAACGGGTTAAAAATCTTCACAATTAGAACTGTCCCTGATAAACACAAAAAACCCTTTAATGTCTATCGCCATCAAGCTTTCCATTCTTCTTATTTCACAATTCCTTCATTGTCGTTTATTGACCACCCGTCAGCAGAATTACCGTATCCGTCGTATCCGTCTCCATCATACCATTACCAAAAACCATATTGTTCAACAGTTGCATATTTAGTTGTTGTAAAATGAAATAACCATACTATTATGACAACCCTTTCTTGTGATCAATCATATTCTTAGTGGAACGACTCTTCCACCTTGCTATATAATCATCTTCATCTACGCACATCATGGCGAACTTAACATTAAATTTTTCTTGGCAGCGAGGTTAGAATTGAACTTATTTACAAATTGGAACGCGTTTCTCTTAAAAGCGTCCAATGTTTTTTGTTGAAAAAGAATGAAATAAAATGAAACTCGCAACATTAATTTATCTTTTTGCAAAATTTCACTTGTTGAAATTAATGCAGTGATGTTCAAAAGTGGTTTCAAATCATCAGGAATTTCTTATTTTCCACCATTAATTTTGTACAACCTCAAGCCACAAATTATTTGTACATCATTGAGATGGAACAGATAATACCAACCTCTTATGTCATCATCTCCAAATTGTGTTTCTACTTCACTATCACTTGATTTTGGCCAATTCTTTGGCTCAAGAACTGCAACACTCGCTAGTAAATGTGTACTTGTTCTTATTTTGACGTATCATCAGAAGACGATATTATTATACGATTTTTCATAGTATTTGTTAAACTGGTATAAAGCTGTGTAGGAAAGCTCTCGAAGAAGAACTAATTCGATGCCATCGAAGATTCACCGAATTTTCTGGATGTCTCTATCGGCTGCAAGGAACCCTCACAAACCATGTATCACTGGAAAGCTCCAGAATACACATGAACAAATTTGACGTCATAGAAATTTTTTTATCAATTTTTCTGAATCGTAAATAACCTTAACAGAAACTGCAGTGAAGAGAGAAAAATGATGTTATGAAATTTTTTAGAAGAAATCGAAAAGCGAAAACAGAAATAAGAAACGTACATGAAGCAATGAATATCAGAATAGAGAAATAGATAAATGGTATCAGAAACGAGATGGAAAAGAAAATAGAAGAATGGGAAATTAGGATGATGAAGAAGAAACTAGAAGAAAGAGATATTAAACTAGAAATGAAATTGTAAGAAATGATGGGGACGTAAAGTGAAGTAATGAAACCAGAAATTGAGGCTGAGACTACGTACCTACTTCTGCAAGAACTGACGATGAGGGTGTAATGCCAGCAAGAATTACATTCCAACTTTAAATAAAAAAACAAACAACTCTGGAGTGAAGGTTTTTTTTTTAATTAAACGTACCACTGACGTTTCGCTTAAAGGTGATAAGACTTCTTCAGAGCTAAAACATTTTCAGTAAATATGAAAAAAATGATTAACAAAACAAAAATCATGAGATTATAAATTCAGAAAATCAGGTTTTTGTAGGTGTTGCGGAGCATTATCAATGTAACATAATATTCACCCTTAGCTAATAATCTAATATCTTTTCTTAAACAATGTTTGAATGTTGGTAGTAGAGTATACATTTTTATTAAAAAACCTTCACCCTAAAGTTGTTCTTTTTTTTTTGGGAAAAAATTAGTAATTATACCTCCAACTTTCAATGGAAATAATCTAATTTTTTACTTTGTGGAATAAAAGTAATAGAAAAAGCTTTTGCTTAAATTTAGTTTATCATATCTACCAAATACAGTTACATATAGATGTCCGAAGGAGTGAAATTAGCTGTAATCTAATGGACTTATAGTTCTGCTAGTGTAGGTGAAATAGCATCAATAAGAGTACGACTATTTATTAATTTATTAAATTTGTATCTTTGTTTTTTAACAATCCCCGGATCTACCTCATTCTTGTTGTTTTCTTCCTTAAGACATTCTTTGAGTTTGTTATTTTCGGTACAGGACGACCTCGTACAATATAACAGTGACTTCATTATAGTGTAAAGAAATCCTTGGTGTAGTAGTGATTAGTATCCACAGGTGTTAGTAAGGAGTGTTAGATTTTGGTCGATCAAACCTTTCAAGCCGAATAGGGATTAGAAAAGCCTCATCCATAGAAGCGGATCCTGGACGCCTAACAAGCTTGTCGATGAAATGGTAGCTTAGCCTACGATTTGCATTATATTTTAATGAACAAATCCCTATGGATTATGGTAGATGAAACGCAAGGTAAATACGACTACGTTAAAATAAAATAAGCCGAATAGATGGTGGTACCCTTAATATTAGTCATGCTTTAATCCTCCGAGTTTTTTGATATTTTCCGCTCAGTACCTGGCATTAAAATCGGCATTACATTCTCCCAAGGTTACAGTATTTAGCTCCTGCTCCTATCCACAAACCACAAATACAATTCAATGTGATTATCTAACAGCCACGTTACTGTGTTATGGTACTCAAATCAGATAATCGTGTCCTTAAAACAAGCATAACTCCTGATCGCTACTCCGCTTTCAATTTGGGGGAAAAGTACAAAAGTCGCTTGCCCTTCGTAGCTGTCAAATCTTGATTGCATCAAAGTTTCCCCTAAATTCGCAGAAGACATCATGGAAACTATTATTATTACTCATTTTGGCGTCTTTAATTCCTCTATAACAGGGTGTTTCTAAAATAAATAGAGAGCTTGTAGAAGGTGATAGGACACTATAAAACAAGCAAATTAAGGTGGTGGACTGAAAATTGACTGTTTCACAGCTTTACTGGATCATCTAAGGCAGAGCCGGGCAAACTTTAACTTCGTAGGAGCCGCTACCTGAGGTTAGTTTGAGTCACTCCATACCCATCAATGAGTACGAGAGAGTAAGCAGTAACGACCCATATTGCTTTCTCTTTTTCTTCTCCCTTCCACTGCCATATCAAGCCCCTTCATCTCGTAGAAGAGCGAAGCCTCTCTCGCAACTTAAATAATACCTACGAAAATTTTCGTTCGCAATACTATTGGGTTTGACTATGGAAGAGGTCTCTCACATACGAAATGGAAGGGATAAGAAAAGGAAAGAATCATCTCACTCGCACTCGCAGGATCAATGAGAAGCTCCTTGGCTATACCTGAGGAGCACTAGGGAGTCAAAAGAGCTGAGTTTGCCCGGCTCTGATCTAAGGAGACAGTGCAGTTCCGTATTCTATCAGCCAGAAATTAGGAGCATCCGTCTTGTGTTTATTTTGTATTTTAATGCTTATGCATTGTTTGTTACTTGTTAGATCAGATTAAGTATGATTGACGATGCCTAAGTTACAGTCAACCTATAGTGCGTTGTTCTTTTATTGTTGTAAGCTTGTATATATGCAGTCAGTTGCAGTTATAGACAGTAGCTCAGCGTAGAACAGTAGTTATTACAATAACGTTTAGTACGGCAGAACTTTGTGATATGATACTGATTTACGACGAATGTGAATTCAATATCAATGCAACACTCGAATTGTACGGTCATCGATATCCCTAGCGAACTTCCTCAGCAGGAAACCGTCTTAAATACGGTACAGAGATTAAGATAAACCGGCAATATACACATTCCTTGTAAGGATGTGTATTAAACGCCAGTACAGAACGCTAATGATTTCCACAACCGTGCGTTGAACACTGTAAATGAAATACACCAAATGCCAGACGTTTTTGCGTGACTCAGAAATAATGATAAAGATCTAGATGATGGCCCCTTCGGGGGTGGGGATGGGGGTGGTGGGGATCGAAAGAGGGTGGTCACCTGAGTAAAACCCCATTAAAAATCTGCAGCGGTCTCACCCCCATAAAAAGTTATGGGGTGACAATTTTCATACACTATAATTCAAATAAAATTCAATAAAATAATTATATTTAAGCGGGCGGAGGTGGGGGATCGAAAGAGGGTGGTCACTTGAACAAAACCCGATAACATAACCTAACCTAACCTTTTGATAAAGAAATTTAAATAATGTTTATATAACGTTCTCAATATTTTTATGTATTTTTCATTAGTTTTACTTTTGAATATTGTTTAAGAATAACTATATAAATATTTACATGCCTAGAAATGTATAAAAATTGGCATATTTATTAACTTTGAACCCTCATAACTTTTTATGGGGGTGAGACCGCCACGAATTTTTTATGGTACAGTGGTGGGGGAGACCCCCTCTTTCGACCCCCCACCCTCACTCCCTCGAGGGTGGGGGCCATATCTAGACCTTTACCGAAATTATTTTGGTAGACGACTCAAAGGTTGTTTTCTAGCGCGGGATTCGAATTTCGAACAATCATTGAGTGTATGTTTATGTAAATACCTTCTAGGAGGTAGCATAATGAATCAAAGTAGGACTTCAAGAAGTTAATTGTCCTCAGTGGTTCTTGGCTCTTAATTGGTCACAGTTTATTAATCTAGGTTGGTAATTTAACGATAGTCACTGTGCAGGTTACTTTAATATCCGTTACGAATAGAAAAAAACAAGTGTTTTGATGATAAGCCTTTAAGGCGGTCTATTTTGATTTGGAATGCATGCCTCCAGGCTATTATCAACATTTTACAATAATCCACCTTACTTCCATCTACAGCCACATAAATGATCTCTACGTCTTCGTGCATAGATACTTACCTACATCCTGCGTCAAGATGCACACCACCCTATCAAGTATTGATATCCAAATATGTACTACACATAATGGAATCTGTTGTTCTTAGTGAGACGATTGTATATTTTAGAAATAAATCATCATCTAAGGTTTAACACTGCTTTATTTAAAGGACTGCAAATGTTGTATATTTCCGCCATATTTTGATCCAAGCCACGTTTTGTATAAAGCCCCGGGAAGTTCAAACAACTAGAAAGGAAGCAAAAAGTAATACCTACACATATGAAATTTAAAATTTTATAAGTCGTTTCCCCCTTTTAGAGCTCTATAGAATTAGATTAATCAAGAATGTCTCAACTCAATCTAATTTTTCACCAGATTCAAAAGTTTCATAAACAGGAAAACAGGAATCATTGATTATGCATATTCCTAATCCAGGAATAAGGTTTGTACGGTGTAACTTTGCTCATTTACTTTTTTTTTATTTAATATTTTTTATTAATTACTAAAAAATAAATAGCTGGCAATGAGAAAATTAGAAATTGAACAATTGTAAAAAAGTACACCAGTTTAAAAATGATAAAATATAAGTACCTACATGTATTATAATTTGCACTGCAGCTTAAATTCTTCTTAGAAAGGTTCTTCCTTGAATGCTATAGTAACTTGGGAAAACAACAATTGATCGTCAGAAGTTATAAAAGGGTGGATACTCGTAATGTTTCTCAGTGTACAAGCAAAATGTTGGCAAACAGTGGTGTTGGTTCAAATTCTCAAAAGAAAAACAAATTCGGGCTGGGACCCACTCTTGGTTCCGTTAAAAACTTATTTTCAACAAAGTACTTGGCTAAACCTATTGGTCTGCAGGGGTACGAGAAGAAGAAGAAGTCACGGTAAAGTATTACTAATCTATTGCATTTATTAACGGATGATATTACTATAGATATTATTAGAATTAAAACGTATGATATTTTTTTGTAATACCCATTTATTCAATAAGAAAATTATTTTATTATTAGAAAACCTACGGTTAATATATTTGTAGAACAAATAGTTTCTGTTGAATACCCATTGAAATAACTAATTTGATATAATGTCTACGTCATATAAATACAAAATATAATTAAATCGAAAAGAATTGTCTCACTACACACAAAAGGGAGAAATATTGATTGTCTTAGCCCAAATACCTACCTACTCTAACTATATCTACATACTGCTTATGCAGTTCAAGTACAATTTTTTCAGTACAATTTCAACCCCGACAAGATGCATTTAGGGTTTGCTACGTATATGTAAATATATAAACATTAAACGTATTATCCAACATATCTACTAATTTATTTCCCTGTAAGTATTTTTCTCATTTAAATTATTAGTGATCAGTGCTTTTTCATCGGGATGTGATTCTTAAAATATTTTTTATTGTTTGTTGGTTCAAAATCATTCATTATATGTTTTTGTACATGGGGTTACCAACTCAACATTTTAGAAAGTCTCGAATATGCTTGGAGACATCCATTTAATAAATATATAAATATACAAAAAGAAGCTTATTCGTTTTAGATAATTAAAAAAATGATCAACTAGTAGATTAACTAATTAAATATACAAATATAATACAAATTCAAGTATTTAAAATACAAAATAACAGCGTTCACTAGCTCACTTTATATCATAAACTCCATTGTGTGTGACATTCAATAAGAACATTGCCAATAAACAATATTTTTTTTTTCATAAAAAAACGAGATTATTTTTTATAAAATGGAATCCGGAGAATACTTAATTTTTCTGGAGTCTTTGGACTAAAACTGGAGAGTTGGTAACCCTATATGTACATTGTATTTGAACTGAGTTTTTAGAGTATAATAAATTCGTTAATATTTTACGATTACTCATTTGAAAACCTCAAAGTAAATTATTTGGGACATTAACTAGTGAAATCAGTCATCCAATATTTATTTCTTTCTGTATTCAAATGTATCTTTCGATATTGAAACAATATAAATTCCAAATTAATGTATCTGCATTCTAAATTATTTTTCGAGACAATTAATATTACAAAAATTTCCCAGACAACCCAATTCCTGTTATAACAGAAAACTGTTTTTTTTTTCTTAATTTTCATATATATTTTATTCTTCTAAAGAACTTATATATTTTTAAAACATAAGTAAATGACCATTTTAATAAAAAAACAGTTTACATACTTTATTTTACTAGACAATTGCTATTTGTCTATCAGTAAACATAAGTGTAGTTTCATTTTATTTCATTGAAAAATCGAAGCTAAATCTATAATCTCTAAAAAAAAACTGTGTGGAATCATCTCGATAAAAAAGGTATTAATATGTCATTCCAGTAAAATACACATATAATTAAATCTTCACATACAATTTGTTATGTTTTCCAAAAATGTACATATTCTTTTGCTTGTTTCGTTGGAACATAGAAACGCAAATAGTTCTATAATCTTTTTTATGGTATCTTTTAAACGAAAATATCTTAAAACAACAATTATTTTTTGGTTTACAATTTACAGGCGATCTACCGCTGATAATAAAATGGAATACAAAAAAAGGCCAAGCTATGCAGATACTGCATATCGAGAGGCAGTTTCGAGACTAAAGTATTTTCTCACAGAAAGCTATTTTCCATCGAAAAGAAATTATGGCAGAGAAATTGATAGTGCTGGAGAAGAAACAGATAACCAATCATTATTAAGTGCTGAAAGTAGAAATACATCAAAGTACTTCACTTTGCCTCATAATCGTTACAGTCCCGTAGTTATGAAACCGCACTTTTACACTGCCCCAAGATCAATGCTAAATGCTGATAGCAGTAAAAATGTACTTACGTAAGTAAAACCAGTTTTAAATACATTCCTATTAAAATAAGTAAACTATAAACTTAACTAAAGCTTAACTATGCTTATAAATATAAAAATTGCCTTTCTACCACAAGTGTTCTAGTGTAAATAATTTTGATTTTATTTAATACTAGCTGACCCGGCAGACTTCGTACTGCCTCAATCGATAAATAAAAGACCTAAATTTTTGTATAAAATAAACTTAAAACAAACACAAGGAATCTATAATTAATAAAAAAAATTTAAATTGTGACAAATAATCTGAAAGATAGGTAACAACTTTCATATTTATTCTCCTTTTAAACCTTCTCTGGACTTCCACAAATATTACTAAAAAATAAATAGCTGGCAATGAGAAAATTAGAAATTGAACAATTGTAAAAAAGTACACCAGTTTAAAAATGATAAAATATAAGTACCTACATGTATTATAATTTGCACTGCAGCTTAAATTCTTCTTAGAAAGGTTCTTCCTTGAATGCTATAGTAACTTGGGAAAACAACAATTGATCGTCAGAAGTTATAAAAGGGTGGATACTCGTAATGTTTCTCAGTGTACAAGCAAAATGTNACACTAATTATTAAGGAACATTAAACACTATTAAATTATTACTAAACTTAGGTGATGAATTATTTTATTTATTTACACTATTGTTGATATAACACTATTCACTGCTATCACTGTCAATTTATTTCTCGACTCATTTCTGCAACGGTCAATTTATTTCTACTACCCTCTTGGCGATCGCCTCTTCCTTTAAATACTCTTTTGTTTACTTTCCGGAGCCTTCTCGAAACATCCAGATACTTTCTTTTTTTCTTTGAACTGTTGAACTGCTTTCCCAGAACGCAGGTACGTCACACACATTTACAAATACGGCGCACATGCAGAATGGCGCCCGCGGCTAGTTAGCGAATCGATAAGCCGTTCAAGCACACGCGTGCGCCCGATCGCATACAAACACACTACTCGCTATACTGTCCCCTTCTTAAGGATGTTTCGTCCCGAAACATTTTCACTTTCCGTTTCGCAGGATCATGCCGGAATCTACAGTTCTCACCTTCACGGCATCTGCTCCAAGAAAAAAATAACAGTCCACGGTCTTCTCATGATTGGTCCGATTCTTGTTGTCGCCAGCTTCTGTAGGTTATTCTCCAGAAGATATCCGCGGAGTTCCATTACAGCGTCCGTTATCAGAGCATCTTCCTTTAGTTACTAGGTAATAGACATCGCGTCGTCCGTCAGGCAGGTACAACAGTCTTCTTCCCTGCTGTATTTGGTCTTCAAGATGTTCCAAACCGCCAAATCTGCGTTTGAACTCGGACGCGTTACCACGGCTCATTCTGAGATCCTTTGAAACGCAATGGGCCAGAGAATATTCCTTGGATATAGCAAAGAGGTCTCGTCGGATTTCTTGCGTCACTCCAAATCTCCTGTTAACATGGGGGCCTTCCTTCATGAACTCTTCAAATGTGGGCTCAGAAGGAATAGTTCTTAATAATCCTGCCCGCGCCTCCTCTTCATTTGCACCGGTGAATGGAGCCAAGCGGTTAAAATGGACTACCTTCGGCTTTCCATTTCGAGTTTTCTTAATTCGGAACTTAGGTGATAGTCCACGGCGACGACGACAAGTCATCTCCTGGTTTATAACCGAATTTGAGGTCACAAGGTAGTCGTAACTCCCTTCCAAAAAGAATACTGGCAGGTGTTTGGCTAGTCGTTTCGTGAACATATGAAAAAATAAAGGCAAATAGCGGTCCCAGTCCCTCTGGTGATCAGACACTACCTCGGAGAGATATTTAATGAAGGTCCGGTTCATTCGCTCAACCATGTCGTCCGATTGTGGATGCAGTGGAGTAGTTCGAGTTTTCTTTATTCCTAGGAGCTCGCATATTCAACGGAATATAGCCGATTCGAAATCTCTTCCTTGGTCTGAGTGCAACTCCAAGGGCACCCCAAAACGACTGATCAACTCTTTCATCAGCTCCTCAACTATGAGCATAGGCTTCAACCCATATGGCAAAATAATCTATAACGACCACGATGTATTTGTTACAGGTGGTACACTTCTTACACCAATTCTTGACATCTTCCTTACAGTTCACCAATAAAATCGCTCTCGAACTTACCCAAGCGTCTTATTCACTCCAAAATGGCCACAAGATGATCCATCATGAAGATACTGCAACACCTCTCTAACCTTGTTTCGAGGAATAACCAGTTGCTTCCTATCTTCCTCTCCATCTGGACTTTTAACAACACGCTTCAGGATGCCATCCTCCAAAACCATTGAGACCCACTGAGCCCATTTTCATTCCATCACCTTCTTCAAGTCCGCGTCGGTTTCTTGGTCGTGTTTTATATTTTCAGATAACCACTCGTCATCGATTACCGTTACGCGTCGAATTGCCTCTTCATTCTTTTCCATTCGATCACACTGCCTCTTCATTCTTTTCCATTCGATCACACTGCTTGCAGTCTGTTTGACAAGATCTTCTGGAACGTGCATCGGCATTCTTGTGTCCTGTTCTAGGGCAGTGTTCTACGTCAAAATCATATTCCTGTAGCTTCTCAATCAATCTAGGTACCTGGCCCTCCGGATTCTTGAAATTCAGAAGCCACTTTAAAGCTGCATGATCGGTTCGTAAAAATGTTCTATACCTTTGACTACAGCCAGCATCTCTCGCCTAGTGACAGTAGTTTCTTTCGGCTTTTGAAAAGGTCTTGCTAAAATAGACGATTACGTTCTCTTGGCCATCTTGTAACTGCGAAAAAACGGCTCCCATTCCCACATTAGTGGCGTCGGTGTCCAAAATGAACATTCTATTGGGCCGAGGATATACCAGTACGGGGGCGGTGATTAAAGCCTGATTCAAAGTTACAAATGCCGTTTCACAATCCGAATCTCAATAAAATTTGCGTTCACTTTCGGTTAAACGTGTCAAAGGTTTGGCGATATTGGCGAATCCATAAACATATCGACGATAATACGTGCACAATCCCAATAAGCTTCTTATGTCGTGGACATTTCCAGGCACTGGCCATTCCTTCACGGCTTTATCTTCTCTGGATCCACAACCACCCCTTCGCTGATACAACATGCCCCAAGTAAGAAATATTTTCGCGGAAAAGATGGATTTTTTTTCGGACTGAGTTTTAAATTAACCGCACGTAACTGCTGGAATACCGCTTGCAAATTCTGCAGGTGTTCACTAAAGGTGCTTCCAACCACTATGATGTCATCTAAGTATAGCAAGCAGGTCTTTCCAATTTGATCACTCAAGATTTTCTCCATCAACCTTTCGAACGTCGCCGGGGCATAGCATAACCCGAAAGGCATAACTGTAAACTGCCACCTAAAGCAACCTGCCAGTATCCGATCTTCAAATCGAGTGTTGAAAACATTTTCGAGCCAGAAAGCATATCCAAGGTGTTATCAATCCGTGGTAGTGGATAACTGTCTTTCTTGATTACGTTGTTGAGCTGTCGGTAATCCACACAAAAACGAGTCCCATCCTTCTTCTTTACCAATACTACCTATGATGTCCATGGACTTGAGGATGGCTCAATTATGCCGGTCTCCTGCATTTCGTGGATTATTTGCTCTGCTTTTTCCTTTTTGGTCAGGGACAATCGTCTAGGTCTTTGACGAATAGGCTGCGCATTACCGGTATTGATCTTGTGTTTTACGATGTTGGTCCTTCCCCTACCACTCTTGTCGGTCTCAAAGGCGTCGGCATTCTGACAAAGTAGATGTTGCACTTTGCATTTCTGCTCACTGGTTAGATTCCTACAATATCTGTCAATCACACCACTTATTTCAACAGGTACTGTTTCAGAATTTACCTGTTGTTAACGTCGAATACTTGGGAAAGGAGTACATTTCCTACTCTGCCTCCTCGTATGACCTAGTTCGCCGCAATTCTAACATCTTAGCTTTTGAGTTTCTTTATCGAACTTGGAGATGATTTGGCAGACGGTTTCTAGTAAAGATTCTGACGAATCAGTTTCTTCACGCAGTAGTCGCACCCTTCCCTCTTTGCTATAGGCCCGTTTAAAAGTTTCGTACTCCAATGCATCAGCCAATGCATCAGCTAGCGTCTTGAGTTGAGTGTCAGTGTCCGAAAGTCCATTAGTGAATGCCTCCACAGCCAACCTTTCCATCAATTCTTCTGCAGTATTAGGATAGGCCAGTCAAGACAGTCTCGCAATATCGACCTCGAATTCTTGTAGGGATTCCTTTGGTTTCTGTTGACGGGTTTTCAGTTGGATGTGATACACCGCTGTTAAATGAGCCTCGTCGTAGCTCAACTCTAATCGTTTTACCAACTGTTCAGAATCCGTCAATTCTTCCGTGGAAAGGGTGTTGAAAATGTCACACACATCTCCACGAAACGCAACGGTCAACGCAGTAGCTTTTTCTGCAGGTGCCCAGTTATTCGCCTTAGTAGCCTCCTCGAATTGCTTGTTGTATGTGGTCCATGAGGACTTTCCGTCAAACGTTGGTGGTTTTACTCCCCTTCGATTGGTTTTGTCTTCCCATTAAAAATTAATTCTTCCAGCACTTTTATCTTCTCTTCTGTTTCTTGAATATTCTTATTAAATTTTTCTTCCCATTTATTCTCCGAAGTTCTACTATTTTCTCCCAATTCACGTTTCAAATTTTTACTATTTTCTTCCAATTCACGTTTTAAACTTTTACTATTTTCTCCAATTTTTTTTCCAATTTATTTTCCAAACTTTTACCGTTTTCTTCCAATTCACGTTTCAAGCTTTTACCATTTTCTTCCAATTCACGTTTCAAATTTTTACTATTTTCTTCCAAGTTTTCTTCCAATTTATTTTCCAAACTTTTACTGTTTTCTTCCAATTCACGTTTCAGGATTTGTGATAATTCGTCTTCGAAAAGGAACGTTTCAGAATCATGGCCATCCTTTTTCAATGCCAAGCCTCCACTGAGGTTCCGCTTATATTAGTTGAATTCGGCCTTTTAATATCACTTAATATCACTAAACAATCCCATAACGTGCAGTAAGTGGGTCATCTAGAACGATTATTTTTTGGTGACAAATAGATAAATCGGTTCTCGCCTGCCTTCCTTCCATTTTTGATTTGATCCTTCAACTCCGTTGATCAAATTCTTTTTTAAAAGACACAGCTACTCAGCGGCCCATATTTCAGTCTTCGGCCACACAATAAATCGGCGAGTATTCCTTGAGGATATCAACTAGGTTTTTAAATCGTTGAGAGGACACCGAGCTTACATAATTCTTATCCAAACATGTTCGTGATTCACTGTATGAAGTCAATCGGTTGAAATGGACAACTTTTGGTTTCCCATTCGGTGCATATCTAATCCGATAGATGATATCATTTATTCGCTTGTCGATTTTGTATGGTCCTTCCCATTGTTGTTGATAATCAGATTCTTCTCCATAAGCCGTTCGAATGTGACTGACGCGTTGTATACACCTAACGGCATCACTTTAAATTACGAAAGTCCTGTCCCGATGAAGAATGCCGTCTTCCTTTTAACCTTAGGATTCAAATCCACTTGCCAGTAGCCACTTTTGAGATTTAACGTTAAGAATACCGTTAACCCAGCAAACGTGTCCAATGCATTGCAAGGAATTGAAGCAAGGGGGAGCTATCTTTCTTCGTCGCAACGTTCAGATGACGGTAGCCCACAAGAAACCGATTGAGTCATCCTTCTTCCTGACCAAACTACCGGCGACGTCCAAGGACTGGTCGATATTTAAATTAATCCGTCCTATTGAATATCCCTTAAGATGTTCTCGGCCTCTTCCTACTTGCCATAGTCATGTCGCGATGAAGAATGGCGTCTTTCTTTTAGCTTTAGAATTCAAATCCACTTGCCAGTAGTCACTTTTGATATTTAACGTTAAGAATATCGTTGACCCAGCAAGCGTGTCCAATGATTCGGACGAATTTAGGCAAGGGGTAACTATCTTTCTTCTTCACAAGGTTCAGATGACGGTAGTCAAACAAATTTGTCTTTTGATTATTGCTTCTATTTATTTAATTTTCGTTCCCATTCATCCTTACATACATACGCCTAAAGATTAAAACAACCCCCATCAAAGTGTTAAAGAGGCACGTTTGTAGGGCTACTTTTAAATCGGTTAATTTTTCACCATTTTCATAGCAAGATTGTCTTCCTATCGATTATCTTCATTCCCGCATCTGACAGCACATGTAACGAATTTTGTAATAGCAAGTTTATTTATTTAAATGGTTATTTATATAACAATGATTTATTTACACAATAACACCATCTAGATCAGAGCCGGGCAAACTCGGATCTTTTGCATCCCGAGTGATCCTCAAGGTTAACCAAGTAGCTCCTCATTGATCCTGCGAGTGCGAGTGAGATGATTCTTTCCTTTTCTTATCCCTTCCATTTCGTAGATGAGTCCCCTCTTCCATAGCCAAACCCAATAGTTTTGCGAACGTAGTAACGAAAATTTTCGTAGGTATTATTTAAGTTGTGAGAGGGGCTTCGCTCGTCTACGGGATGAAGGGGCTTGATATGGGAGTGGAAGGGAGAAGAAAAAAACAAAACAAAATTATTTATTGCTGCTTACTCTCTCGTACTCATTGAAGGGTATGGAGTGACTCAAACTAACCTCATGTAGCGGCTCCTGAGAAGTTAAAGTTTGCCCGGCTCTGATCTAGATACATAGATTACTATTAATGTCACAGTGTGTTTATAAATGCTTATTTATTTGTCCATATATCAACTAACTACGGTCCAGAGATCTATACTTCTACGGAAGTCTTCACTTTTCTGGCGGATTTTCGAAATACTTTTGTTACGCGGTCATATGTGTGTTATTTATGAATAATGTATAACCGGTCTTGCTTTCGGCACCTCTTGTAAAAATGTTGCCTGCTATTGATTATATTGTACATAAGTAGCTTGCGGGGCTTAACAGCGTAGACTATAAATTTATTGATTTCATCACGTTCATATCTGTATGAAACAACATATATATATATTACAAAAATGGTGTTTATCATTTTTTAAACCTTTTAAATAACGCAACCTAGATAACCTAGCTCATATTATAATTTGACATTTGAGGGGATGATTGTGGAGGTATAAAAAACGATTGTCACCAAGTTAGTTGATATAACCAATCGAAGAAAAATATTCAACAAAGTAAAAGAACCCTTAAAGCTCTTTTCGAAATTTGTGTCCTTCGTCAATCTATATTAATTTTAATTCAATAATCCTTTGAACTTTATATACAGAATTAACCCTTAAAACTTTTGACATGATAATAATAATTTTATGCGAACGCGCACGCCTGTATTAACAAACTCTAATTTTTAGGGATTTCAAGAATATAAATTATGATAATAAAGTCCCGCCCGAAATTCTAAAATTTATTAACAAACAAGAAGAATATATCTACCATCTCGAAAAAGAAACAAGATACTGTAAGGTAATACATTGTCTTCTAGAATTGTAGACTAAAACAACTCCAGTATTGGTGCAGGTAGGGTAAAGGAGTGGGGAGGGTGAAGGTGATCTTGCGACAGACTAAAAAAATATTTATAGGTGTGGACAGAGAAGGAGAAGTGGAGGGTTGGAGGTGAATAATCTAATAACGTAACCAGACCTAACCTAATCCTAAATTATTTCAGCCTAACCTAATTTAACCCAAAATAGTAAACATTTTTTTGAAAATTTTCGAAATCGGCAAAAGTAAAGAATTATGGTTCTGGGTAATAATCACTTCAAAAACTTTTTGCTATGTTAGGTTAGATTAGGTACTCTTCGTATAGAAAATGATTTAATCTCATTTTGTCACATATGTTAACAGGACGAATTGGCCGAATTGGTACGAAAAGTAAAAAGGTCAATCCCAGAAAACAATAACTATATCGAGAAGTATACCACTTACGACACAAAATTTACTTTCTCGAATCCAGACGAAACTGAAACAGAAATTGAAAATGAACCATCAAAAAGAGTTGAGTTATACCATATTTTTTTTAATTTCACCTCTTAATTATACTTCAATCTAAACAGCTTGCATCTAAAACTTTTACTAGTCCGAAAAAAACTGTGATTCTTGAAGGTCCTAGTATAGTTTTTGAATCACGGATTTCTGAGCTAGAGGCACAGCTTATGCAAGCAAAAATTGAATTACAAAAAGCAATTGAAGAGAATGAAACGCTCAAGTATAAAAATAGCACTGGTGACGTAGTGGGAAGCGACAATGAAACGTTGAAAAAACAATTGGAATCACTTCAAAGGTAAAACGCTTTTAAAAGCTGATGATCAAATGAGTAATAACAGTATTATTGAAGGGAAAAGATAATTCTGCAAGAATCTGTTACAAAATTGCAACTTGCTCTTTCTCATTTGAAAGATAAAGAGTTTGATACCACAGATCAAATGAAACGTAGTCTTAATGCAGCCGAACATGCGCACTACGAAAAAAATGCAGCAGAACAAGAAATAAGAAGACTCAGGGATGAATTAGATCGTCAACATTCGAAACTCCGCGAAACCATATCAGAACAGGTAGGAATATTATTCACGTGCTTAAGTTAAGACAATACTTCAGTTAAAAAACACTTTATTAAAAACCTCAAGTCATAAATATATATATCAAAGAAATTTTTAACAAGAAATTATTTCCCATCCTTCATTTTACAAAGTGCTTATTGGTTAGAGCATTGGTACGTAACACCAGGAACTCGCGTTAGATCCCCAGCAAGTGTTTATCTGTAGTGAGTGAGAAATTAAATTAATTGGACATTAAAACATTAAAAAACCAGAAAATGTGAAACATCAAAGTTGATAGAAATTATAAAGAATATTAATGTTTAAAAATTATTTTATTCATCTACCAATATAAAGAAAAATCCCATATCTTCTAAGAAGTAAACATAAGAGGAAAGTACTTTATATCTCCTTACAATGATAGCAATGCAAAATGCGTATAATTTTTAAGTAGTTTTAAGGTTTTGTTTTGTATGAAATCGTGCTTCACTTCACTTCCTCCCAGCTTATTCACAAAAGTTGAATGTAATAGTGTTGAAAAGGCTAGGAGGTCGTTGTCCAAGAAGCTCGGGCACACAATTTAGCAAGATTTATTGAACACAAGACAAAAAAAACGATTTGACTGGAATTAGTAATACAAAGTAAACAACAACTGTTATTGGTGGCAACGATAGTGGAGATACCTTACTAGAGAGCGGTTCGATTTGAAAATAGAAATAAAATATTGGTTTAACAAATATAAATATATATGTTACCAGCCAAACCCGATTTTAGGACAAACTAGTTTTTTCTAGGCCAAACCAATTCAACCTCTAGGCGATAAGATAAACCGGTACAGACTAGACTAAACTGGTTCGTCCTATGATCGATAGGAGAAATTAGTTTAACCTAGGCTGAATTAGTTGAGCCTAATATGAATAAGTACACTTCACGATAAACTGGTTTGACCTAGTCTATAAATAGGGAATAATAAAACACCAGAACAAATAAAATCATGATACATTTATTAAATAAATCAAAATCAATTTCACTTATTTTTGCATGGTGTACTCTGATGGCATTTGGAATTGGAAAGAACCATTTTTTTCTTGCAGTTGCACCTGCTTGCCAAGCAGTTCTTTACGTAGCTGGACCTTACAGAACCTTGCCCTGATCCAACTGAATGTTTTGTGGTTGCACTCGTCAGAGATATTTCAATATCTTGTTTAACATCGCCTACCTCTAAAAATTTCTCTGCAAAAAAAGTCAAAAGTAATAACTATATATCAGAAAAATATGGTTATATTGACGTTAAATGTCATTGACGTGTGCTTTAATCTGTAACAATCCCATTAGTAAAAAACCAGTACCTGCAATATAATTTTTGCAATACGCCATGTTTGGTGCCAATTTTGTGAAGGCCGTCATCATTTCCCTGAAGAATAACTTCAACGGTGTTTCTAAGGTAACTTTTGCCTTTGTCTGCATCTGGAATTGGTATAGTAACATTGCCTCCAATATTGGCACGTGGATAGGATTTATCCGAAGCAGTTTTCATTTTTTAGCTTGATTTCCAGATTTTCTAACGCCGCTTTTCTAGCATTTTCAATATTCTGTGTGTCAATTTCCTAAATGCTACCATCACCATCGTTACTCTGACTACAATTCGAATCCTCTTTGATAACTTTTCTAAGGTCGTCCTCATCCTAAATTCATTTATCATTTCTTGCGGCAACGATGAAGTCGAAAACCCTACTCTAGGCTCAATTCCAAATAAGGCCTTGTAAGACGATTGTTTTATTCCTAAGTGAAAGGCGCGGTTTTTCATGAACTGGACATATCTTAATCCCTTCGATTATTTCAGTGAATCGTTGTCTTTCAACCAAGAACTTATCATGTTCTCTATATCTTGGTTGGCGCGTTCAACGGAACCCTAGCTTTGACTGTGTCTTGGGTTTCCATGTACAATTTTAAGTTCTCACCAAAGAGAAGCGAGCTCGCTAATCACATTATTGACAAATTGTCTATCATTGTCAGTTCGGAGAAAGTACGGCGCTCCTAGAATTAATTCAGGTAGTAGGCCACTTCTGTCGCTCTCTTAGATGTTAACGCACACAGAAGAACAAATTTTGTTAAATGGTCTTGGCAAACCATAATAAATTTAAAGTGTTCATCTGGCTGTGTCTGAAAATCTATCAAAACTACTTGACATCTGCTATTTCAGCTCATCAGTTTGTAGGTAGTATTTTATATATATTCCCTTCCGTCCGTGCTATCAGTTTTTTCACATCTCCAATTGTTAGCACACCAAATCGCTTCAATCGTATTTGTTGTAATGATGTCCTTTTTTCCATTACGCCTTGGTGTACGGTATACAATACCGTATGTGAATGCATTCTAGTCGCTTTCTCAACGCTCTACTTCGAAAACGGTTAACTTTACAGAAAAATGAAAGAGACATTTTTTGTAGATAATTTCACGACAAATAATTTTTATGATGACCTCTATTGACTTCCGAGTAATAGGTCGCGAGATATTTGCGAGAAACTGATCTTCGTGACCTTTTGACTTCATTATAACGCCGTAATAAAGGTGTATACAAAAATTCAGCTCACTTGGAATTTTTCCGCAGATAAAACTTAAGTGACTGGAGTAATTATAGATTCTCTATTTTCCAAAAATATTATAAAAACGATGTCATTATAATTGGTTTTCTGTATTAATTATTGCTAGAAAAATATTACAATGTGCATAATCTACTTCTACAACTTCAATTCCCAATTTTCCCTTTTCGTTCAATTTAGACTGCGTGTACTGTATCTTATTAGACGTCACAAGTCACTGGCATAACGCCTGATGGATCGGACGTCTAAAGCCCTATGGCATTAGGGTTCATCAAAGATATTTATTAATAACTCTAGTATGCATAAAACTTGGGGAAATTAGTTTTAACATTTTCAGGATATGGGATTCATCTAAAAAATTATCTGGGGTCCCGTGTTCGCAAATATACCACTGTCGTAAATGCAACTTTTAGCACATGTCATTTTGCTGATTTTATAATTTGTTTATACATATTATTATAATAGAATAAAATAATTCGAAGTGGTCTGTATTCTGTCGAAACTGCCAGATGCGGATCGCGATTACGATCTTTTTGGATCTCATCAGCGCATCGCAGACAGCTCCGACAAAACACAAACCAATGATTAATAATAAAATATTTATTTTCTTAACTTTATGAGCAAAAACTTAAAAAAAATATATTAAAGACAATTTTATCACTATTCTTTCATTGTGCTATTATTTAATTCATCATATGCACCCAAAAGAACTTCGTTCTTACCGAGTGTCCCACGACACCTCTAGTCCTTTTTTTGAGAACAAGTTTCTTAAAATCTCTATCGTAGGTCAAATCAATAGTTCAGTTTTGAATTTTTTGATAAAATTAAATAAGTTTCCGCTCCCTTAGATGAGAAATATTTTCAGACTCGTCGTATTGCTGAGGAACGCAACACGATAGAACGTCGATACTCTCAACAAATTGAACAGCTAACTGCAGAATTAGCCGTTCAATGGGAAAATGCAAATAAAGTACAACTCGAACTGGACAAACAGAGACGTGAAAGCGCAGATTTACGCAGGGAAATAGCACAAAAGAATGGCTACATAGACGACCTAAGAAAAGACATGCACAGTAAAATAGGTAGGAACCATATATTTAATCATAACAAAATTGAATGAAAAAAGTTAATTCAACTCGTTTGAATAAGTTTACCATGTCCATACTTCATTCTATGCACTATTAGTTAGCGAAAATAGCTCTTAAACAGAAAGATTTGTACAACAAAAATGAACACAATAATTAAATTATTCTGATGTAAACGGAGAATGAATTAGTAGGAGTAGAATTTTTGGTTCTTTCCACTTTGCGTACAAATTGTATGCATTTTCTGTTGTGAGAATATGAAGAGTAGAAAAATTAACGAATTATAGTTGAATTTAGGTAAGTACCTATCCATGTATTTTCGGCTTCAATACTGTTCGAATGAAGTATTTTTCTTGTTTAATGTCCGTAATTGTCATACCGATAACAACTGAATGAAGTGTAGTTATTCATTTAAGTAGTTATATTTAATTAACAAAAGTTGAGTTGCAACAACAACATATTTTCTTGAATGAAATAAATGAACGCTTAAATTGTTTTTTACAAAACTGAAACGTCGTTGGAAATTCTGACACTTATTTTTAATTAATATTGGACTTGATTTATGACATTAGTTATTTCTTATAAAACAAAATTGTCTTTGATTAATTACTTCTTGGGTAAAATTTAATAAATTAATAAAAGTTCTTTTAATCAGACAGATTTTTAAATTGAACTTTATTTACTTGCACTAAGACATCATCCTCGGACCAGCTTCAAATTTTTGCACTTATAAAACTTTTACATGGATAACTAAATTTGGAAATTCTGTATTTTAATCCTATGTATTGCTAAAAATGAAAACGAAGGGGGGGTCAGATAGGCCTTTTCTATCTCACTACCCGCTCGCATTTAGCGTCTTCCTTTCTAACTTAAAGCGAAAGGGATAATAATGTACCATTAGTGCTGTATATTATGTATGTAAGTTGAATGACTGCACAGAAAAGTAAATTATTGAATAGTTACAATCCTCGCCTAGTAAGCGTATAAGTAAGATAACACAAATTAACTCATGTTAAGAAAAACTTTGTAATATTCTTTCAAACGTAGGACTTAAATAGTACATTTGTTGGTAAATATCAACAGACTGGTTGAACACATAATAGATATATTGATATTATGTATATTTTGATAACTAACTAATAAATGAATTTGAATAATTCCTTTTTGGAATTCTAATGATATAAACTAAAAGATTTACCAATTTCAAATTACCGTAACTTAATTTTTTTTTTAATTTTTAAAACCATAATTTTTAGAAAAAACAAAAAACCCAATTATCGAAATTTTTAAATACTTATACTACGCTGTGATCAATTCGGATAGTAAAATATTATAAAATATGGTAAAATAAAAATAATAATAAAATATAAGCATAAAGAGATAGTTTTGGATAGATATAAGAAAACACAACAGTGTAATATTACAATGATTTATTATTAATTAAACTTTAAAACATTTCATTATCATCATCATCATCATCATAAGGTCGTCAGTCCTGAGACTGATTGGACACGCACCTCCACTCTTTCCTATCCTGAGCATTTCCCTAAAACTAGAACAACGCACATCCTTAACTATTTGCGAACAGTAATCTAATCTAGGTCTACCTCTATCCCTCCTAACTTCCGTTTCTGCCTCTTATGTGTCTCTAACTAAATCTTCATGCCTGAGAAGATGTCCTACTAACCTATCTCGCCTATTTCTGATTGACTTCCATAGAGTTCTCCCTAATTTTTCGTCTCCTATCTTTATATTCGCTCTTTCCCTACTTTTTCTTCCCTTGCATACCAGTATCTTAGTTTTATTTATTTTCTTACAGTACTGTTTTGTCATTACCGCTACCATTTTAGTTAAAACTATACCTTAACCTTTTCTAACTTTTTATTTCCTTTATCTAATTGCCTATGTCCTATGATATATTTGTCCAAAAAGTGGAATAATTTCTTTTATCCTGCTTTCATTATATTGTTGATAAACTGTTCTATCTAAATCAACCTCGTATAAATGCAAATGGGTGAATTTGAACTACTACTGTCAACTGTAGTAATTTGATTTTAAAAAGTCAGCAATATTCTTTTAAAAAGTAGTTCGCGAATTCTTTACCTGAATCTGAACAACTTTTCAGGGATGGTTATGATAATACAGGTTATACAAATTTTGCTTGTAGGCAACTCTCATATCCGGTTATTATTATGTTGATAAGTTCTTTCATTTTAGGCCAATAAAATTGTTTTTTCAGATGTTTGCATGTCTCATCGATTATGATTTAATCGATGGTGTAAAAGTGAATAAAGATGCACTAATTTTTCCCTTAACAAAACAAATTTTATTTCAAAAAAAAAGGTTATAAAGATGAATCTGCGTGTGGCTCGGGATATAATTAGGGGAAGTCCGGGAGAGTTGAACCACTTTTAATATAAAATATCATAATTACTTGTTTATTGGGTTTAGAGAATCGATTATACACTTATGCGTTGCCTTACTTTAGTAGGTACATTTATGCTTAATTGTATTGCTAATAAATGCGCAGGTAAAATTTTATTGGCATTTTACTAAAAAATGAGAGATGAGTCAAGTCTCCCCACCAGCAGGGACACTTGAACCGGGGTATGGGGAGAGTTGACCATATTATTTTTGTATGAAGATTGGAAAAACTTTGGCGGTTGTTGTAGAACAAACAGAATAGCTCAAAACCCCAACGCCAAAACACGACACTGTAGTTGTCCGAAGCACTTTTCGGTAACAAAGTTACCTTCTTCAGGGACTGAAGTAAACTAAACCTAAATGAGAACTAATCCTAATTTATACTGATAGTTGTTAAGGTTCAGTGAACATGACCCGAAGCCAACAAGGTAGATGTTCAATGGACCTTAACATCATCATCATAAACGTAATTAAACTAAACTAAATAGCGGAGATCCAGGGAT